ATAATAAATAAATACTAATTTACTAATTTTGTCATGTACAAAATTGATAAAGGGGGGGGGGCTCGGGGGGTCCAAAAATCGTTCACTAGGACAGACCCGAAATATTTCCTTATCCATCCCCGATTGAAGTTTCTTTCATTTTCGTTCGTTCAGAGGTTTGTGTATAATAATACCTATTAAAGTACAGAGATGGTATGAGTAGGGTCTGTGTTTCCGCCATTGTATAAGAACTACTTGAGATAGAAGAAGAACAACAAGAAGAATGAAAATCATTTCAGCATGCATTTCAGCGTGCCCTGCATGCTTCTGGTGCATTCTGATCGCAACATCATAGTAATTAGTTAAAATTGATATGCAATTTCCTGATGACTCAGAGATCATAGTCCCGCAAGTAAAGTAGTTATTTTCCATAAATTTGAAAAGTTAACTTTAAGTAATTTAATTTAAACCATTAGACTAAACCATGATGTCCCTGATGTGTTCAAGGTTCCATTTCTCCTCCGGAGACAGTTCGTCCCACTTAATGGAGTCCCAGTCCACCGTAACATTGTCATGGTGGTGGCCATGACCAAACCCCATACTTCTGCAATAAAACCGTTATATTTGAATAAAATTCACTTTTTTCCACTTTCAGGTTTTCACTTGTCTATCATTAAATTTAAATTTATTTAGATTATTGATTTATCTCTGAGCAGTCAATCTGTTTCAAAGTTTTCTGCTTGACGGAAAATGCCGCAAAATCTTTAATCTGAGTCAGAAAGGATTAACAATCAATAAATCAAATAAATTAATTTATTAAAACATCGTTGATAACAAAGATTAAGGTTTAATGCACCCTTCAGCATCTTTAAGATTAATCTCTTGAATTCCTAAGATTTTTATTTTCAGCTTTAATTCGGGGTTTTGTCCATTATAAATGTTTAATTAGTTGGATTCAAGAGAAGACGATTTATTATAAAAATATTTTTAAAATTTTGCGGGATTGCACATTCTATTCCTGAAAACCAATATGGCGAAAATTAAAAGTCAGAAAATCATCCTTCAAATGCAAGAGTTATTGAATCGTTAATCACCCTTTGTATTATGTGTGTGTAAACAACAACAGAGGAATCATGAATACTTTAAGTGATTTTAAAAATGAAATGGGATTGATACTAAAGCTTACCATCATTTTTTCTTGTATATTAATTTCAAAATTTCGTCATGAAACAAATATTTCTTTATCCCATGATGTCACTACTTTTAGTCACATGAAATTTCATGTTTTGAACAAATTTCACTAATGTGTTGCGAAAAATTAATGAACTTTTCCTTAATTTCTGGAAATTCTTATCTATTTGTCTTTTTTAATCTGTTGTTATAAGCTTAGTTTGGGTAGTAGCGACGGACTTCAATTGGTATATTCCTAGAGAACGATTTTTGGACCCCCCCCCCCCNCATCCTAGCCGTATCGCTCGGCCCAGAAAGTGTCTTAACTAACATAACCCGTGGCCGCAGCGCTCGGCCCCCTAGGCTATCTTAGCCGCAGAGCTCGGCCCGGAAAGTGTATTAACCTAACCTAACCCTAAATAATATTAAATATTTACTAATTTCGTCATGTACAATACTTTCACGGTTAGGTAATTTCCTAGAGAATGATTTTTGGACCCTCCCTCCCCCCTTCTATTAATTTTGTACATGGATCTTAAATGTAAGACATGGTTATAATTCACCATGTGGCCGCAGCGCCCGGCCCCCTAGCCTGTCCTAGCAGCGGCACTCGGCCCCCTAGTCTGTCCTAGTTGCAGCGCTCGCCCCAGAAAGTGTCTTAACCTAACCCCAAAAATATACTAATCTAATATGTAGGACATGGATATAATTGACTATGTGGCCGCAGCGCTCGGCCCCCTAGCCTGTCGTAGCCACAGCGCTCGGCCCAGAAAGTGTCTTAACCTAACCTAACCTTATATTAATACCAATTTAATTGAAAATTGTGCAAAATTGATAGGAGGGGGCGGGGGGACGGACCCCACGGTTACCATCAAAGGATAAGACTGTAAAACTTTAAATATGACGAATTCAAATTTATATTAAGTCTTTGTATAAAATCGATTTTTAAATGACTTACTTAAAAAAATTTCAAGAAAATGACAGAAGATTTTTATGGAAATTAATCATTTTTACAAGGAAATAGTCTGAGTAGTTCCGTGCAGTCGTCTTTAATGTCTCATCCTTTGTGGGCAACCCTGTTAATGTTAATGTTAAATTACGTGTTAATTTGTGGTTTGTTGTTAAATTAAATGATGTTTATAATTTTCAGATTGAAATCTGCACTGTAGAATGTCTCGGCACGAGGGCGTGTCCTGTGATTCATGTATGAAAGGAAATTTCCAAGGGCGGAGATTCAAATGCCTGGTCTGCTACGACTACGATCTTTGCAGTAATTGTTTCGAAGCTGGAGTTTCGACAACCCGGCATACAGCAGCACACCCCATGCAGTGTATACTAACTAGAACTGATAGTGATTTATACTTTGGAGGAGACTCCTCTCTCTCATCAGAACATCAGAATTCATTCACGTGCCCGTTCTGTTCCAAGATGGGGTTCACAGAGAACACTCTTCAGGTCTGGTTATTTTCTTTGTTAATGGTCTTTTCTGCCACCGTCTAAAAATTTATTTTTGGATGGCTGGCGGTTCAACTTAGTCTACGAGTTCAACTACTTCTTTAGCCATTAAAGAGTTGGCTTTTAACTGTGGTTATTGTAAACTAGCAATTTAAAAAGGAATTAATAAGTTTCAGAATGTTCATTTCTAAAGGTATGATGCAAATCCAGGGTCGTGTTTTTTCTTGAAAAATAATTCCCCCCCCCTTTCCTTTTTTAAAGATAAATTGTTTCCCTAGATAGGTAATGGTTCCCCCCCCCCCATATTCATCGAAAAATAAAAAGCCATTCTGATTTAGTTTTGTTCAGGAACATGTGTCTAGTCAGCATCTTGAGACGAGTGCCGAGGTTGTCTGTCCAATCTGCGCTTCATTCCCAGGCGGAGATCCAAACCATCTTACAGATGATTTCCAGGTTAGTTCAGAATATATTTCTTTTTGGAAAATTCTTCCAATTTTTATAAGTAATTTAATGTTTAATGTGACATTCCGTCTAACTTAACAAAATTGTTTATTTCAGGGTCACTTGAACCTAGAGCATAGAGGGGGGTCTAGGGATCTAGAGAACCGAGCAGGAGCTCGGGATCTTATTTCATTTCTAGACGAACCTGGTGGAATACAACGTCAAGGAGCTGTCAGGTTCACAACCATTTATTTTCAGTTTATTTGTTAAAAAATCTCATGTTAAAGGTTTTGCATATCTATTTTTGAGTAAAAATCATCTTAAACCCCTTAAGATTTATTGAGTTTTTTTGAGAAACCTTTGGATTTTTTGAATTTATAATAAAACCCCTGTAGATTCATAAGTTTTTCGAGTTTTTGAGAAAAACGCTTTTTTTCATCGAGGTTTTAAAGAAAATCCCTGTTTATTTATTAAGTTGTTAATTATTGAGTTTTTTTTTGAGTAAAACGTTTTATATTTATTGAGTTTTTTAAGAAATAATAACTTTTAATCAATTTATTGAATTTCTAGACGAATTGCTCATCCTCGTGGTGCGTTTACATCTCACAGAACCCGGCGACACAATAATCCTCCAGCATCTGCTTCACTAGGTACTAGAGAAGGGAGTGCAATGAATTGACTAGAGGGTGGGGGAATCATTACCTACTGATTATCTATGTAGTAAGGGAATAACTCCTTTTTTATGGTCTAGGGGTGGGGAATACCAAAATTTGAAAATGCATCTATTTCCAAATAAATAGAGAAAGGGAGCTCTTGTTTTTTTTCGTACTTTACAAATCCAGAAACAATTTTTTTTAAATATTTGAATTAATTTTGATATTTTGATCTTTGCTTTAGGTTCCTCCAGTTTATCAACGATCTCCCCCTCCACAAGAGAAGCAGTTGATCCTATAGCAGAGCTTCTCTCACAGCTCAGTGGAGTCCGACGAGCTCAAGGGTCAACCTCATCCTCTCTCCAACAGCTTCAAATGGAGCTTCAACTACGTCAGCAGGCTCCTGGACACCGTCAGACCTTGGACCGGCTCGCCCGGCGCGCTCCTGGTGCGTCCAGCGCCGGCCCGGTACACCCAGCCGTCGGGCAGCCAAGTTCCGTTCAGGGTTCACAAGTCACAGCCGCCACAGGTCAGCCTCCCTACCAGAGTAATCAAAAGGATCGGAAAGGTGAAACCGGTTTTCTTCTCTCTACTCTGGAGAGTGGGGAGAGCGGAACACGAGACGGGACGGGAGAAAACGCCAAACAGAGAATATTCATTCAGGATCTTCTTCTTGCAGCCTTAAACCTAGAAGAACCGGAGCAGGAGGACGAGGAGTCTTGATTCTTTTTATTTTAACTTTTTTCATATCTTTGGCGGGTTTCATCACAATCTCCTTATACGTAGTCATCATTTACAACCGTATTCATCCGAAGATTTGATTGTTAAACGTTTTATCAACCTGAGTTTGCGTGGGATTTCTTTAAGTGAAGTGACTAATATGGAGAAGTAACGAGCATTGGTCCGGAGAGGGTTCTGGTTTCAAATTTCGGGAGATTGTAATGAAACTTGTCGCAGGGTTGAACAATATGTGGATGTGATTAAGTCGTGGTTATTGGTTTAAAATATCCCGAGCACGCTGAGCCATTTTAAACTCGACGGTTTGTGCAGACTACAAGAATTTCACGTGTAGCTTTCTTTGATCAAGCTTACAATCAACCTGGTGAAACTAATGTCATTGTTCAATGTTTATTCAGTCATTTGAACTAATAGTCAGGAGTTCTCATCTTGGTTTAATACTCCGCCCTCAGCACTTTACTCAGGCAAGAATCATAATTGCAGAGGTTTTTATTTGTCTTAAAGGGACTGTACGCTCAATTTCAATTGACCCTCAATGATAAGATAGCAATGCCTTATTCACAGCGGAACCCTAAAAGCTTCCTCCGATCTAGTTTGAATAAGATATGCTTGTTTCTGTTTCTTTAAACTGTTTATTTTCATTTGTGGTTTCTCTGTAAAAGTAAATTGCGAATTTTTAAAAGAAAGAATGGAGAAATTCACAGAAATGAACGCTTTTCGAATCATAAAAATGACGTTATCTTTCACATTTTTGATAATATTAAGGTTTCAAGGGTACCAATGTAAATCGAGCATTGCTATCTATGCATGAAGGATCACTAATAATTACGCTTGCAATCTCTTTAATTTGATAAAATGGCGACAAGGTTAATTTTTTCAGGATTTTATATTATTTATAAATGTATTAGTTGGAGCCCAAATTTTCTGCAATATTCTCAATATTCTCTACGTCAAAGTTCTACGTTAAATAGATGTATTCAATTTTTGTATGAAAATATGTTTTTCGGGGAGATAATTCTATTTCAAAACTTCTGGGTTCAATGTTGGAAATAATTTTATAGTATTGAGTTTAATAAACATAAATTGCTAAAGTGTAGGGTCGATTTTAAAAGCTCTGGGTGGGGTATTTAAGCCTGGATCTGAACTCCTGGTTCTATATTCAACAAGTGATTGAAACCTAACCTCCACATATCAAAGGTTCAAATTTTCCTTTTTAATGTTAAGAAATCAAAATTTGATGGAAGTTCTGGCTTTATATGCATTCACGTTATCACAACTCGAGACTTTATATCGTAATCTGTGTTCTGTGAAAAATTGATTATAATCTGTGATCATCTCGAGTGAAAACCCCCTCCCCCCCCCCTCCTATACTCAACCTTCCCCCTCACCAACCCTACTCTATTTATTCTATTATCTGGCTTTGTAACCTTAACTCCCTTATTTAAAGGTTTATCAAATTACAGTGAAATAAACATTTTATATAAAGTACATTTTCCTGCTTTTTCGCCATATTCGTAAATCCTGTAAATGGAATTTGATTTAAATCATTTTAAAAGCGTTCAACGTATTATCTCTAGTTAATTGTTAAAATTCTAACACGTCTGTTAATAAATATCAAGGTATACATTTCTCTAGTTTTATAGTTGTTAAAAAGGTTTCTTCATCTGAGGTTTCCTTTTGTTTTTATTTATAGGAATTAATTTAAGTTAAAGAAAATTGTGGGTTTAGTGATAATGGATTTTAATTATATGTGGCTTTTGTGTGAATCTTTAAGTCTTAAAAAAACGACACACATTGTGCAGATTTAAGAGTATTGACAGCATTATCAAGAAATTTATTTTTTCTGAGTCATGGGATGTAAAACTGTCTAACTTTGGGATTTTTTATGTACACGAAGATATTTAAAGGGACTGTGGCTGTAATTTCAAGTGACCCTCCCATGCAAAGATGGCAATGTCAGGTTTACAATAGTACCATTGAAACCTTAATCTGATCAAAAATTTAAAAGATACCGTCGTATTTCTGACTCGAAAAGGGTGTATTCTGATATTTTCTCCATTGGTGCTAGTTTAGTAATAATAAATGCGCAAATCATTTTCTCAGAGAAACCGCAAATGCAAATAAATAGTTTGAAGAAACATAAACATGGATATCTTAATTCATACTTGATCAAGCTAAGCTTTTAAGGGTACTGTTGTGAATCGGCATTACATAAAAGGAGAGTGGAAAATTAGGCATGGTTGATAAGTGAACAGGGAGGGATAAAGAGAGCTTCGGAATTCAAAATCTAGAGGACGAAGTTGGGACAATATAATAATGATCGAATAATTTCAGATAAAATGGCGGATAACGAGGCGAAGGCAGTTCAGTTGGTGGCGGATGCGGAGAAAAAATTAGGCTCATCTAAAGGTGTAAATAATAAACAAGATAGAACCAAAGTATATATAAAGAATGTACTCTGACATGGTTTTATTAACCAACCCTTGAAGGATTACTTCTTCAAAGCAGCGCTCTGCCATCTTTGTATTGATCCTTTGAACGCCAGCCACGCTGTCAACAGGTATTCATGTCTAATATTTAACTAAAATAGAAGATTTTGTATAATTATTACACATGTATTACATTTTTATACGCACTTGTTGCTTGCGAGGCCACCTCCCATAAGTTGAACTATAATATTAACATTTATATAATATATGTATAAAGAAGTGATCTCTGCTTGTTTGTATGTCCGATTATAACTCAGGAGACCCTTGACCGATTTTTTATTGTGAAACTCGTTAGAACCACAGGAATATTCTCAGCTTTATTTAAAGTTTTAATTGAATGAACCGGTTGTCTTGATGATAGTGAAATAAAGATTGTAGGTAAAACTTAGTTTCTAGGCCAAGCTGGTTTTCGAGCTTCAATTTTCAGAAAACCTTTTCTGTTTCAATAATTTATTGGTGTTTAAAAGTAGATCGGCCTAGGTATGAGTAATTAACTATTAACTGAATATAAGTAGCTAAACCACCTGCACCAGTACATAGTTCAGCTACCTCTCGCTATTCATTAACCTCTGTTTAGATACGAGGATCAATACCCTGCTTTCTCCGACTCCAGGGAGTGTAAGCTAATCAAGTCCCTGGTTGGAGCCCTGGAGGAGCAGGACGTGGAGTCCTTCACCAGTATAGTAGCAGAGTACGACTCCTTGAGCAGGTTGGACGCTTGGCACACAGCGCTCTTCCTCAAGGTTAAGAAGAGTATCCCGGTAGAAGAAGATCTATGTTAGTTCAAATATTCTGCTCAAATATTTAAATAATTTACAGTGAGAACCAGAAAACAGTGGACTGATTGTCGCATTCTTTACTCTTTAAATTAAAATATCGCATTTGTAATTTTTAACTGAAATAATTCAGAAAAGGCAAACATTTGCAACAATTTTAAATTACAACATCCTTAGCAACATTTTTAAGTTAATTTGAGATCAAAGACGACATTCTTTTTACAGTTTTCCTGTTCTCACTGTATTAAAATCATTGTTGAGGCATGGATGTTAATCCTTCCGGAGTTTTTTTTGCAAATAACCTTTAATTATGATTTATTTTGATCTAGCTTTGTCCAGAGTCCAAAACTAAAGAACGAAAAGTTTTGACTTAAATTTTAAGTACATGGTTAAATGCCACTTCTGACTTAATTTAAACCTGAACTTTAACCGCGAGGTAAAACATTTAACCCGAAATCGACGAGTTAAAATTTAAACACATGGGTTAAAATCTTGAAATCCTGCATTTTCCCTATTTGTCTATTATTCAATCATCATTCAGCTGAGAAAGTGGCATTCAACTTTACGATATATTTAAAAGTGAAAACCTTGTTAAAGAAATTTCACGTTTTAGATTAATTAATTTTTGCATGTAAACCCAAAATACGGTTTTAACTCGAAATATGTTTTGTTTTCGGTTACGTAATCAGCTGATTAGGGATGGTTATGTAATATTCTCCGTAAATCCTTTTCTCTGATTGGTTCAGATTTTCCCGGGAAATTCAAATTTAAAATTGAGAAAGGTTAATATTTAAGTAGCTATTCATTATTTTACAGAACTTTTAACCTCGAACTTAAAATTCGCGCATTCTTTAGTTTTAGACTCAGGGTTATACAGCTTCAGAAAAAAATGTTTCCAGAATTCTTTGTTGATTTTGTTTGTAAATGGACTTATTTGGAGGTTACGATTGAAGTTTTAAAGCCGAACCGTAATTTCTCTTTTTTAACTCTGTATCCTGGATTTCTTTAATTTTCTCTTAGTTTGCATAAAGTTGGAGGGCTAGATAATGATATGTTATTTTCAAATTTATTATTATTAAATTCTTTAAAAGTCTTCACTACTTAATTAAATCACATTTTTCGTCTATTTTTAAATATGAGAGAAATAATTGTAAGCTGCATATTTATGGCAAATTGTTTCATTTTCAAATGTACAAGATCTGTGATGTCTGTCTATGATTGTGATTTACAGCCTTCCTTTTTATCCAGCGTTTGTTGTTATTTATACAAGAACTTTATATGGCAGGTGTCCATCCACCTAACAAATCTACGTATTTTAAAAAGAAGAGCTATGTATTCAAATATTATTTCTTTGTACAAAAAAGTTTGGTTCACCCCCCTTATCTGATGCATTTTTATAATCTAACTTTTTAATTTATTTTCTACTTGATAGTTTGGGTCCTTGTTAAAGAAATTTCTGTTTAAAATATTATCTACTCTTTAAATGGTTTTTATATCCCCAAAATTTCAACGTTTGTATAAAATTGTTTTAAGTAATTATATTCTTTCTCCTTTTTTTAAGTACTCTTTAAATATTATTTCCTTAAAAATATTTATTTATTCTTTTTTAATTTTATTAAAGCGATTTTTATTGATCATTGAAAGAGCTTCAGGAGTTTAAAGGATAATAAAAAAACACGGGATTGAAAATAATGATGTCAATCCCAGTCTGATGTTTATTTACTCCCCCTGTATTGATCCCTTGAACCATATTCCATCCAGTATATTTATACGTTTATATCACTAGAATATACATTATATAATTTTCTATTATACGAATAAATCTACATTATTCTAATAAATGGCATCTTAATATATTGCACAGGGTTATACTGATTAGTTGAGGCCAGAGTGCTTAGGATTCATTTAATTTTAATGCGGATCCGCACCCGATAAATGGATAAACAAATTTTAAATATTTTCTTCTTTTGTTGAATTTAACATTCAGTGATGAGATAGGTTTTCTTATATCTTGTTATTAAACACTTCAATTGAGAGCCTAAAAAGTGACGGAACCTAAGCACTGATTAAGACGAAAGGAAGCATATAGAGTAAAATAGAACATGTAAACAAAATAAAGAATTAACGAAACAGAAATGGGACTCATATCCAGCATGATATGATGCATATAATTTTAAACTGAAACAGATTTAATAGTTCTTTAGTATTTGGTAAAAATTAACTTTACAGGGTGATAAAATAATCATGGTATTTCTGAAACAGCGTTATGCTAAAATCACAAAATGTGAAAACTGAAGAGTTGTCATAGGGTGTTAATGTTTACAGAGTGATGCACATTGCACAAATCATATTTTTAAATAGGATTAACCTGATACAGGGTGAAGCAGAGACAATATATGGAAGAAAAAAATATTGTAAATATGATTGGACAGAAATAAAAAAGCATAAATAAACTTATTATATTCTAAGTCGTTATTATTATTGCACTTCTTTGACTAATGTATTAAAACTTGACAAAGTTTATTTTTCGGAAAGGGTTGAATTGTACGAATTCAGGGGTTGTGGGGTTGGAAGCTTTTCATGACTTATATCTATCCCTGAATCTAGATAGTCGTAGTAGTAGTAGTAATAATATTCAGGATCTGATTCATCAGACTCGTAATCATCATCTTTATCATCTTTATCCTTGCTAGGTTCATCCTCATCATCATCGTAGTATATTTCATCATCCTCAGAGTATTCTCCGTCTTGGTCCAACTTATCCTCACTCTCTTTCTTCTCCACGTATTGGTTTACAGGTTTCACTATACTACCCGGAGTATAGTAGTGTTTGAACCCTGGATCCTTCTCAGACTGAATTTTAGATCCACTCTGAACTTTATCCTGGGGTACCTGGGCTCTCTTCTCATCTTTTATCAAAGGTTTTTCATCTTTGGAAATTTCTCTTGCCTTGCCTAGAAAGTAAACAGTTTAATTTTGTTTTTTAATTCCAAGCTAACGTAAGAAAGCAATGCTGAAAGCTGAAAATGAAAATATTTTATTTATTTTTTATCTGATATGCATTTAATATCTTTACGTAACGAAATGTCCACAGTTCGGAGTGAAAGAATATAGCCTAGAATTCTGCTGTCAATTAAAAAAATGACTAAAGGTTTACCTACAGAGAATAAGAAAAGAAGATTAGAAACTCTTCAAATATGATAATTTTAAATTCCTAGTAAGTCTTCTGTCTTGAATGTAGTCTTTAAATGGCTTATTTGAGAATTTGGTAAATAAAGGAGTTTATATTTGCAGGGAATCATATCATAAATGTAAGGAAACAGACTGTATGAATTACGTACAGTCGTCTCTGAAGTCTCATTTATTGTTGTTCGAGGGTCGGAACACGTTTTTGAGTTTAAAAAATTCGGTTTAATTGGTCAAATTGTGGTCGAAAGTCGGAGCTTGCTGGAACAAGGACCGAACTGTTAAATCAGCGTGACTCAGATGATATGATGTACCGAAGAATTTAAGTATCTCAATTTCAAGTTTTAAATGGTTTAGACTTAACAGGTTTTAGCATAATAAAGATAAGATTAAAATCATTCAGAATTAAATGATAAAAATTACTTCTGCAGAGAATGCCCCCCCCCCCCATAGAAAAGGCTCTTGAGTGAAGGTATGAAGGTACAATACATATTTTTAGTCAAATTTTTCAAAATTTTCTCCATTTTCTGTGCATCATAAATCTGCAAGTCAGTTTTCTAAAGAAGTCAGAGTGGAAACAATCAATTTTCAGGTAGAAAAATATTGAAATCTTATTAGTACAAAAGCTTTACATCGTACCGTTGTGAAACGTACAATGTACATACCCTGTAAATGAAATTATGAAGGGTCACTTCACTGTAAACTTCGGTACAATTTTAAGTACCTTGCCGACTTTTATCCAGCTAGAGCATACTATACAGTACAATTACAGACTATGTACGGCAAACCGGGACAGTAAACAAAATGAATAATTTGAACCTATACCTTGTCCTAAAAGATGGTTGAGAATATCTATGGGATTGAGATTTCCAAAAATAGGATTTTTAGCTACAACCTCCTTATCCAGCTTCAATTCTTCATTTCTAAAAATATGTTAAAGTGAGTTGCAATAAAGTTTTAAGAATAATATTCACCATTTTTATTCCTCAAATAGGTTTTCTTTATTATCAACTTCTAAAATTTAAAATGTACAAACCCATGATTTTGTAATTGTTGCAGTAATCTGTGTACTATCAAAAACACAAAATCTTGGCAAAATATTTTATTAAAGAAATTAGGCAAAACCAACAAATATTTTGATTTAAATTGGCTAACATCATTACCTTCCGAAGGAGAAGGGTCCTAATGATTGACTCAATTCAAGATTATCTGCTCTTCCTCCTAGAGACGTTGGTTTCTTAGAGAAGAGGTTCAGATGGAGCAGAATTTCATGCTTATTATCCTCACTGTTAAAGCTCGTGGACAACCCATGCTTTCCTAGAGGATTTTCTCCTCCCATCGGATATAAATCTACCCCAACCTTGTAGGGCAGTGGACCTGTACCACCCGTGTGTAAAATAGTCGCCGAACTGTAGTCAGGGCCGTTAGGAGGATGAGACGATCCTTTGTTTTCTGTATCCTTGTAAATTTCAGCAAAATTGTCATTCTTATCTGCATATCCATAGTTGTCATAACCTAATGAAGAGCCTTTCTCATAGCTAGTAACTGGAGTTGGACCCTGAACGCTGTTGTTGTCATAAATCTCAGGACCTGGATATTTTTTGTTTGGATCTGGAGTGAGAAAGTCCTGATTGTAAGCTGGACTTAACGCCGGTGGATCAGCATAGGATGGATTACTGGGGGCAGTATACTCAGGTCTTGATGGTGGACTGTACGCAGGTTTGCTTGGAGCATATGGTTCTCCGCCCTGGGAGTACGTTGGTTGATATGGACTTGGAGTTGGACGTGTGTAGGGTGGAGGAGGTGGTTGATATGGTGGCTGTGCAGGTAGACTGGGTGGTGGTGCTGGTTTATATGTAGAATACGTTGGTTGATATGGAGGGGGAGAAGGTTGATAGAGAGGTGGTGTTGGTTGATAAGGAGGGGAAGTTTTTTGATAAGGAGGGGAAGTTGGTTGATAAGGAGGGGGAGTTGGTTGATATGGAGGGGGAGTAGGTTGATATGTTGGTGGTGTTGGTTGATATTGTGCAGGTTGTGGATTATAAGGATGTGGGGTTGGCCGGTATGGTGTTTGTGTTGGCTGATATTGTGAAGAAGGTTGATAATTATTTTGAAACGGTTTTTGATAATCTTGATATTGACTGTCTCCTGGATACTGGGGCGGAGTAGCATCATATCCAAGTTCCTCTTCTCCTACATCATCAGCGAGAAATATATTTCCAGGATCATATGGATCAGGATATCCTTCACCAGGCTGATTATAGGACTGAGAGTATTTTCCAGGTTTGTAACTTCCTCCTGAGTTTAGGCTATAATCACCCTGACCTAGTGGAGGTCTGTAATCATTGATAAGAGTATACTTTCCATCCTGTGTGGTGTACCGTTTAACCTGAGAGGATTGGGGATGCTTGATAATATCCTGAATGTTGCCTGCATTTGGTGGGACCCGGATACCCGGTAGCTGAACTCCTGGGTGCTTAGGTGGAGGACGTTTAATATTTGGCTTTTCTTCATATTCAAAATCCATCCCACTCTGGGTAAAGATGTTTGGCATATCGAGATCATAACGGCGATTGTGCTGAAATTCTGGATATCTATCCTTTTGATATGGTCGGTAGGGACTAGGGCGAGAATATTTTCTAGATGGGTACTTCCTAACCCCCCGGAAGTTTCTATTGACCGGACTGAACCTTCTACCAGACATGTCATTGTTAGCCAGTCCAAACCTTTTTTGAAGAGGTTCAGGAGATTTGATCGGAACCAGCTTGTTGTCAACTATAGTTAACGAACCTTCTGATAACATTGGATCAATGATCTTCGGTTTCTTTGTTTTTCTTCTTCTTGGCTTCTTGGTTGTTGTCTCCGTCGTTGTTGTGGAAATTGTTGTTGTGGTGGTGGTTGCAGTTGTTGTAGTTATATAAGGATTAACATATTGTGGTGGAGGATAGGGTTGTGGTGGTTGATAGTTGTAATATGGTTGTTGCTGTTGATATCCATATGGGTTGATATAACCATAAGGAGATCCAATCCCAGGTTGGTGCGCTTGGACAACTATAATCGATGGAGATCGTTTAGTTGTCTCTTCTGTAGTAGTTGATACTGTTGTAGTTGTTGTTGGAGGTGGTTGTGTTGTACTGGTTGTTGAAAACTCATTATCAAACATAAGATTGTTATATCTCTGTCTGTTGTTGTAGTTGTTGTTATTGAAGTTGTTGTAATTTCTATTATTGTAGTTAAAATTGGTGTTGAACCTCCGTGGAGGTCTAGCGTAAACTGGTCGATGAATAGAGGGATGAATGATTGTATCATCCAGGGGTAAGCTTGGGTTGCGCGGAGCAGGACCCCTGTAGGGGGGGCCAGGACGGTCGTGAACAGGTCCTCCTTGTGGAAATACAGGACTCTGTTGCCCAGGCTGTATTCTCTTGCTCGAGTATATATTTGGGGTTTGAAACCTTCTGTTTGGATTGTTTTTGATCACATTGCTCAGAAGATCGTCACTTAATGACGACTGTGTGTCTCTATTGAAGGAGAATTCTTTCTGAACCCCTACCTGGTTTTCTGGAACCATCATGAGAGGAACCAAGAAGGGAACACGTTCCTTGTCTTCCTCTTTATCTTGGAACCGTTTTCTTTGAGGTTTGTTCCTGCTGCTGCTCTTTCTTCTGTTTTCTTTTTTACGTTTAGGTTTCTCCTCTTCCTCCTCCTCATACTCGTAATACTCATCATCATCATCGTCATAGTATTCATCATCCTCATCACTATCCTCTTCATCATCATCATTGAGGGGAACTGGAATATATGCAACATAGTTCCGTGCCTCCGGTTGAAGCATGGACAGGGGAACAGGAAGTGTTTCCAGATCTTCAACAGGTTCTGAGAACTCAGTAGAGTTCTCTGGGTCTAACTCAAGACTAGAGATGTTAAAGAGGGTCTGGAGCTGGATCTTGTTTTCATGAAAGGTTTCTCCCACCACGATGCATGATGCTGTAACCCCCAGGAGCTGAAATAGATAAATACTAAACTGATGACTCTGAAGTTTCAAGTGGTAAATCTGACGAGGATATTTCACAACTAATCCTGCGGAAACCCGTCCTTAGTACACCTTATAGACACAAGGACACAGTAACAAATAAACTGCATTTATATTTAAAAGATTTGTTCATGGTTGACAGATTCAAAACTCTTGAAACATGCTCACTAAAACATACTCGTAAATTAAAATATCAATTTCTGATCCAATCAATATAAATTTTTACATTCCATGGCAATTATTTAAAGTTAACTTACCAAGAAGGCTCCGAGCATTATTTTTAAGATTTGTTTTCTTTTTCTGGTTGGGTTCTTCTCCGGGTCGGAGTCTACCTCTAGGTCTGGTTTAAGTTCCGGAGTAGGATTGTCTCCGTGTTTAGATTGTTTTATTGAACCAGGATGAGTTGATCTACCTCCCTCCTCAAACCCAACATTTTTCAGACTCCTCATCTCATCCTAACCAGCTCTCTGCCCTTAACTAATACTAGATTATCCAAAGTGACGAGGATAAGACTTTAGTTTCTTTTAAAGGGACTATAATCGTAATTTTAAGCGAATCTGCATTTAAAAGATGGCAATGCCCGATTCACAACGGCACCCTTAAAAGCTTTATCTGATCAAGTATGCATTATAAATCAATGTTTATAATTTTGTAAACTGATTATTTTTAATTGTGGTTTCCCTACAAAAGTGATACGCATTTCTACTGCAGGAATATGCTAAGAAATTATCAGAATTAAACACTTCTATACCCTAAAACCTAGAAAAACAACGATATCTACCGTATTATTTATCATATAAAGGTTTCAAGGGTGGCATTGCCATCTTTGCATGAGGCTCACTTAACATTACAGTTACAGGAGTTACAGTCCCTTTTTAGGATAGATTACTGTCAAGATTCCATAAAACATTAAATTTGCCATTTAAAAAAGGATTGAATTAAGAAAAATTAAGTTCAAAGTCTTCATGGCCCGTTATTAGCCTGGTAATCCAAACCCAACATGAAAAGTGGGAATACTGTTTTCAAGATAGGAAAGTACACACGTGTGCGTTCACAACTCTTTAATTTGGTTAAATTGTATGCTTGACCTCTAGTCCCTCTAGTGTCCGGGTTTGAAAACAAATTAAATGTAATTATGGCCGATTGTTGAAATTAATTATTCTTGTCACAGAAATTCAAGGAAACATTATCCATGCATATATATACATATATTAAAGGGAGTGTTCACGAAAAATGAAAGGACTTGGCTTACGGCGAAAAATAAGCGCTTTTGATCGCTACTAATCTTACTTTTATCTGTTGCGTCTATAAGGAGAAAATTGTTAAAAACGACTCAAGCTGAAGAACGTAGCGTCATTACAAATTCAGAAAGTTGCAACATTCAACTCGGATCTTAAAAATTAATTTAATTCCAAACAAATCATTCAGATATTACAAACAAAAGTCATCGATTATTTTTCGATGCATTCGTATATAGTTAATATTTCATAATATTTTTGATTTAATTTTTTTTAAATAATATTTCCTTGGCGCTGGATTTTCGAACATTCATGGAAAATATGAAAATGTTGTCTTCATTATCAAAAATCCTTGAAACAGGAATAAATGTTTTCAAAAGTAACTATCTGATCATAAAAAATAAAAAAATCCGAGTTGAATGTTGCAAATTTCTGAATTTGTAAGGACGCTCCGTTCTTCCGCACGAATAGTTCTTAACAATTTTCTCCTTATGGACGCAACAGATAGAAGTAAGATTAGTAGCGATTAAAAGCGGTTATTTTTCGCCGTAAGCCTATACTCCCTTTCTTTTTTTGCGGACACTCCCTTTAAGAATGTATATTCTAACAGTTTTCGCATCAAATAAAGGTATAAAAAGTTGGATTGAAATCTTACACGTTTTCAATCATAACTCCTCTTATTGACACCCTACTGAGAATAACAAAAGTTCTAGAATTAAAGCTGTTTTTGTCATACTTGTATGTACAATCAAAACTGGAAGAGATGCGAGGTCACAAAGACGTACCTAGTGGTTTCGCATAGATTGTATCTTCTTCTGTCTAGTGGAGAGTGTTTTTACAGTCCCAGTTTCTGTAGTTTAGTTAATGTTCTACGGTTTGTAAATCTTAATTTAGCTGATCACCTTGGTTTGTAGTTTGGGTTAGTTCAGTCTGATACTTTCTCCTGTATTGGTTCCCATACCCCTATCTCTCAGTGTACATCCTGAAATAACTGGTTTAAGATGATAATTAAACTAGGGGTATTAGGAGATTTATTTCTGGACATTAATTAAACAGAAATGAAAACTAATAAACGAGAAACAACTGACCCTTACTCATTTAAATCTAAATTCCATTTGTTCAAAAGTTTCCAACTTAGAACTCTGTAACGGCAGATGGGATCTCGAATTAGTGTGTAAAATCATTTTGTGAGAAAATTGAAGTATTTCTCACAAAATGTCATGCCAACAATACTGGTAGAAAACAAGAGTTTTTTCAATACATCAATACGATATGTGTCAACTTCCGTGTGATGAAAACTTACTTTCAATTCCACTTAAACAATAATAAAGCATCAAGTACTTGATAATCTATTTGACGGAAGATCTACCAGAAAATGTAGAATCATTTTTTGAATAAAAACCCATACAAATTGTGAATATCAAACTTGTAAGTTTTTATTGTTTATTCTAAACTTGTCATTATTATTTTTTCTGAAACGGAGGTATACTCCCGCATACCTCAAAATATGGATATTTTAATGATAAACTTGAATTTTGAAGAAAAAAACTTTAATCTTATTATTGATATTTGGAGGTTATACGGTAAATGTTAAATCATTTATTAATTTATTGTTTAAGTATCAGTTAACCCTCTCTGAGATTGAAAATAAAGAAAGGTATGAAAACAAGTCTAGAAGTACCTTCTCAGCAACGGGGAATGATGTGATTCAATCTCGTGAATAATTATCATTGAGAAATAATGTGGTTATATTCATATTTATTTGGGGTTTATTGGAGCTGATTATATGCATAGTTCTTTCGGGTTTATTGGAGCTGATTATACTCATAGTTCTTTCGGGTTTATTGGAGCTGATTATACGCATAGTTCTTTCGGGTTTATTGGAGCTGATTATACACATAGTTCTTTCGGGTTTATTGGATTTGATGATATGCAAAGTTCTTTCGGGTTTATTGGATTTGATGATATGCATAGTTCTTTCGGGTTTATTGGAGCTGATTATACACATAGTTCTTTCGGGTTTATTGGAGCTGATTATACGCATAGTTCTTTCGGGTTTATTGGAGCCGATTATACGCATAGTTCTTTCGGGTTTATCGGAGCTGATTATACGCATAGTTATTTCGGGTTTATTGGAGCTGATTATACGCATAGTTATTTCGGGTTTATTGGAGCTGATTATACGCATAGTTATTTCGGGTTTATCGGATCTGATTATACGCATAGTTATTTCGGGTTTATTGGAGCTGATTATACGCATAGTTATTTCGGGTTTATTGGAGCTGATTATACGCATAGTTCTTTCGGGTTTATTGGAGCTGATTATACGCATAGTTCTTTCCACTTTTATATCTTTGAATCCTGTGTAAACCTTATGATATTTCCAACTTTGACTATTTGAACTAAACTGGTAACTCATAATACTGATCGCACGATCTCGATATCCACTGTGGGTGCTTTTAATGCTTAATACTTGATCTCGTCATTATAGTTATTCCTCCCCTGATCTTAGCTATTTTCAACACCTGACTGCAGGTACGATTACCATGCGGGATATCGAATAAAGATTAAATTAATCTGCAGATTAAGAAAAGATATCACAATGCAAGAGTTCCCAGCCTGGGTCGAATTCAGTTTAAAAATTTCTAAGGTCTTCGACATTAGGTTGAGAAGATATATAGATTAGAACATAATAGTTTGAGGAGAGCAAATCGATCTTACAAAAACTAAAATGAAATAAACCGTTCATTAAATGAGGTTTCGTTTATCTTACGATCAAGAGTAAAATTTATTATTAGGTAATTCCTAGGCCTGGGTCTTATCTACACATATATCTACTGATAAAAATGCATTTTTAAACTTTCTTTTTTACAAGAGATAAGATTTAACAGATTATATCCTTTTTGTCATCCTCATAAGTGTTATTTTTTCAAAGAATAAAAGAATTCTTGAAGTGAATGGGGGAAGGGGGCGGAGGTGAAAGTTTTAAAATTGTTTAAATCTCAAACATAGGCGAGAATTCAAATTGGAATATCCAGAGAATACAATTATCTAAATAGTTTAAATATTAAGGGAATACAATTATCTTAAAAGTTTAAATATCTAGAAATACAATTATCTAAAAAGTTCAAATATCTAGAGATACAATTATCTAAGAGTTCAAATATCTAAAAATACAAGTTTAAACATCTAGAAATACAATTATCTAAATAGTTCAAATATCTAGAGATACAATTATCTAAGAGTTCAAATATCTAGGAATACAATTATCTAAGAGTTCAAATATCTAGAATACAATTATCTAAGTGTTCAAATATCTAGAAATACAATTATTTGAAGAGTTTAAATATCTAGAATACAATTATCTAAGAGTTTAAATATCTAGAAATACAATTATCTAAGAGTTTAAATATCAAGAGAATACAATTATATAAATAGTTCAACTAAAATCTAAGAGTTCAAATATCTAGAAATACAATTATTTGAAGAGTTTAAATAGCTAGAATACAATTATCTAAGAGTTTATATCTAGAAATACAATTATCTAAGAGTTCAAATATCTAGAAATATATTTATCTAAAGACTTTAAATATCTAGAGATACAATTATCTAAGAGTTTAAAATTTAGAATAAAATTATCTAAATAGTTTAAATACCTAGAAATAGAATTATCTAAGAAGTTTAAATATCTAGATTATAATTATCTAAGAGTTCAAATATCTAGAAATACAAGTTTAAACATCTAGAAATACAATTATTTGAAGAGTTTAAATAGCTAGAATACAATTATCTAAGAGTTTATATCTAGAAATACAATTATCTAAGAGTTTAAATATCTTGAATATAATTATCTACAGACTTTAAATATCTAGAGATACAATTATCTAAGAGTTTAAAATTTAGAATAAAATTATCTAAATAGCTTAAATATCTAGTGAATACAATTATCTAAGAGTTTAAATATCTAGTAAATACAATTATCTAAATAGTTCAAATATCTAGTGATTACAATTATCTACTAGTTCAAATATCTAGAATAAAATTATCTAAATAGTTTAAATATCTAGAAAAAAAATTATCTAAGAAGTTTAAATATCTAGAGAATACAATTATCTAAGAGTTCAAATATCTAGAATAAAATTATCTAAATAGTTTAAATATCTAGAAATACAATTATCTAAGAAGTTTAAATATCTTGAATATAATTATCTAAGAGTTCAAATACAGGGTGTCCCTCGAAACATGACATTTAATAAATAGCTATTTTTAGTTAAACAAATCTTTTGCTTGATTATATTTTACTTTGAAATAAATTTTGATATAATATGACTCCCATATAATATTTTTATTGATCTTTGGTATCAAACAACTTAACAAATTATGGAAAAAGACATTCTAAACTATTCACCAACTGTCATGTTTCGTGGGACACCCTGTATCTAGAGATACAATTATCTAAGAAGTTTAAATATCTAGTGATACAATTATCTAAGAGTTTAAATATCTAGTGATACAATTATCTAAGAAGTTTAAATATTTAGTGATACAATTATCTAAGAGTTTAAATATCTGGTGAATAGAATTATGTAAATATTAAAAATACTTTTAAAAATCTAATTATTCAGCGAATTTAATATCTATAATTCAACTGTAAAGCGGAGAAAAATTAGGAGAAAAATATTGTTTGTTTGATTTAGATACAGGGACGAAAGAAAGAGTTTAAAGTGATCACCTTATGTCTAAACAGTAAACTAAAATTCTAAAGTAATAAAAACCAAATCTCAACTTACCTATTCCTAAAGATTAATTTCACGTCGCCTTTAATTCATTTTGATTACATTTCATAAACTTGGTGTTGTAAACAGGGTTTTCATTCTGTATTGAGTTTCTCCCGGTTGTATGTATAGCAGGTGCGAGATGATTACGGTATATCCTGTATTCCCTGAGTATCCTGAGTAAACTGAACCTGACTGCCTATGTCCTGTAGAGAGTGAAACTCCCGGAGAAACCAGATGGTTTGAAGAGAAAGAGAAGCGTCTTTAATCCCAAGCTTCAAGTTCATGTGCATCTAGGTGTAGGTGGAGACTGGAGAGCAGATAATTGTTCATGAAACCTCAAAGGTTATTTATTCAGTACACCTGGCCCTCCTATTCAGTACACCTGGCCCTCCTATTCAGTTCACCTGGCCCTCCTATTCAGTACACCTGGCCCTCCTATTCAGTACAACTGGCCCTCCTATTCAGAACACCTGGCCCTCCTATTCTGTACACCTGGCCCTCCTATTCAGTACACCTGGCCCTCCTATTCAGTACACCTGGCCCTCCTATTTTCCAGAGTTATTTTTGAACTCCTTTGCATACATCACATTTAGAAACCTTCTTACTTTTCCTAAAGGGCTGATTACTCTTCTCTTTCTCTAGTTTTTAGGTGTAGGTTGCGAAGATGAAGATTGAAGTGATTAGGTTCTTTTTTAGTAGTAGGTAATATACGGAAAACCGAATAGGGAGAAATGTTTGGTTTATGAAACCATAAAGGAAGAAAGATTTGATAACTGGAACCATAATGGGAGAAATGTTTGGTTTATGGAATCATGAAGGGAGAAATATCTGGTTTATGGAACCATGAAGGGAGAAATAATTGGTTTATGTAATCATCAAGGGAGAAGTAACTGGTTTATGATACCATAAAGCAATAAATATATAGACATAGAGAATAGAATATATAGAGAGGAATTTAATAGAAAAAAGTGTAAAACGGCCATTTTGTTGTACTGTTTCCATACTGCAGGTGTACTTCACATATTTATGCTATATAACCTGTTGGGCCCTGGAATATCATTTTATAGAAAATCTAAAATTATTGTTAAAAGAAAACCAAATTATGAAATAGGCTGGTTTCATAATTGACCAATGATCATTTCACATAGACTCTATGCCTTCCACTTTACAAACGATGATTTTCCGTTATAACTATAAATCAAATGATGTTTTTATTCACCTAATTCATTATAAAGTTTATTTAACAGTTTAAAAAATTCGAAATTGAAATGGATAGTCTAGGGAACATACTGTATTAATGTACTCTGCTGCATATAATTTGTGAACATTTACATGATTTGTGCACTTTGAACTCCCTTTCAGGCTGAAAGGGACTGAAAAAAATCATACCGAGAGATTCTTTTAATTCCTCTCTATATATTCTATTCTCTATGTATATAGACCAGGAACGCCCAACTCAGATATACGCATTGTGTACTGCATAGACTGTGGGAGGAATGTAAACAAAAACAAAGTCAGTGCCCCCATAGCAGTTAAAGGGAAAGGATTAAACTCTGATAAACAGAGGGATGTTACAGTAAAAAAAAACAACAAACTATTTATTATATTAAGTTAGTGCGGATACAAATTAATTATTTAAATATAATTTTTGGCTTTCAGGTCAATATGGAAAATTTATTAATTCCCAGTGAGATTTGTGCAACTTGTACAACTATAAAAGGAGAAGCAAAGTAAAAAGATTCCCATACACCCTTGCTTCTGAGGTTTAACTTTCTTTTAAAATTTAAAACCTTTCTCCTTAGGTATAACCTTTCCTCTCAATGTTCAAATCCTTTCTCCCAAGGTTTACATCCTTCCTCCTAAGGTTGAAATCCTTCCTATCAAGCTGTACATCCTTGCTCCCAAGGTTTACATCCTTTCAAGGTTAACATCCTTCATCCTAAGGTTTAAACCCTATACTTCCCGATTTTTGTATCCTTTCTCCCAAGGTTTTCAACCTTCCCCCCAGAGTTTAATTGTTCATCCCCTCCCAATGTTTGTATCCTTCCTCCCAACGTTTGTATCCTTCCTCCCAAGGTTTACATCCTTCCTCCTAAAGTTTTAACCTTTAGGAGGAATTTGAATCTTTCTTCTTGAAAACGGCTAACTTTAACTGTTTTCAGGAACCTATGAGTGCAGAAAATTCAGAGCAAAAAAGTCCTCAAAACAGGCACTACTATATGTAATTGTATGTTGGTTTATTGCCAAAAAACTAAATACAAAAGTTCCCGGCCTTGTCAGAGGCCGCGATGAGAAAATTCACTGTGATTGGATAGACTTAAAATCCAGAGGATCCTTGTTTAATCCATCCAAAGATCTATTGGAGGAAGTTGAAAAATACGAGAAAATATTTCAAAAAATACATGGAGAGTCACTGGATAGAGGTCGAGCTCCGATCGAAGAAACGATTTCAACTGTACTGCAATAAACAAATAACGACCTCACGAGATTGTAAAACTTTTTGTAAATGTAAGATTTACAGTAGACTGTAAAAAGCTTAATGTAACCTTAAAGGGAAATATTAAAAAATATGTCATAACATTTATACAAGCTGCTCAATTTATGTTTTAGAATTATGATGTAATAAAATTAAAAATCTTGACAATTTGCTTTTTTTAAAATAGATTGTATACAATGTCTATGAATAAATGTGTTATGATATGGATAACATTTTTTTATTTTTTCTTGAATTATATGTTAGAAGGTTTTATTTAAAAATGTCTAATATTTAATGTTCATTTCTCGAAAAAGTTTTTAAAGGTATCGTTGTGAGTCAGGCATGCATCTTTATATGGGACACAGTAATGTCTACAGTCCCTCTTTGCATTGATTTCCATGCCATGAAGAAATGTTTTTTCTTTTATTAAAACATCCCAATTTTACCATATATCGTTTTTACAATTAAATTAATCTTGGTTGTTATCATTTCCCTCTCCTGCCTTTGAATAATATAATCGCAAGTAACAAATATTATTTCGTTTTATGATCATTATTGCTCATTTTATTCATGTCTACGATATCAATATATCTTATCCCCCCCCCTCATAATTGATGTTTTGCCCCTGAATTCTTTGTTTTGATTTCCCACTGCAGTACACTTACACAGATTTGACGCATCATATATGGCGTTTCCTGGTCTATATTTTTCTTTCCATGAAGGGAGAAATGTTTGGTTTATGGAACCATGAAGGGAGAAATAACTGGTTTATGATGGAATCATGAAGGGAGAAATAACCGGTTTATGGAACCATGAAGGGAGAAAGTCTGGTTTTTCTTTCAATGACCACTTATGAATGCATTTTTTTTATATTTCAAGAATTTAAATTTATATAAACGTGTAGTAATATCTATGAATACTCCGTAGTTTTATAAAACTATCATATTACACAGCAATTCTTCAAATTCGATTTATTTTCAATAAAATCATTTTGAGTTTTGAACCTCAAGATATAATTTGTCTTTAGTTCAAATTAATCAATTCATTTATTTAAAGATGTCGCGTATCTCTCGAATCTCTCTAGCCCCTTTGCAATCAACCCCCCCCCCCTCTTCCCCTCCATTAAAGTGAGAAGGGCTGGGTTAGATTGCGCTGCGCAAGCACCAGTCAGTAGTATTGTATACATAGAGCAGTTACAGGTTCTCAGTCCAAACCAAATACCCAGAACGATGGGACCCACAAACAAAAATCCTCGAAAATTTCGTGATAAAATCGCGCTACAGAATAAGCTTCAGGACGCCAAGAACGAAGAGTTTATGGCGATCATGAAGGAGGTCTCCGGGGTGAAAGATATCAACAAGTGTAAACCAGTGATCAATACTCATCCGTCCAATTGCAGCTGTATCCACCACCTTGATACAGACTATTCTCATCAGTCTTACTCTGGAGGAAATACCGGGATAGGACCAATGAGACACAGAGCTCTGGAACAAAGAACAACTCCGTATGGTCGGTCCAGATCCCTGTCTCCGGGCAACCTTACTCAATCCCATCCCGGAGCCAGTAATAAAGTCCCGGTGATCCTTACTCAGAGAGAAGATAATCATCTTCAGATACCTTTTGTACTGTACCGGCAGAAATCCGACCCGAACCTATATATCAACTCGAACAGTCCTCTTGTTAAACAATACAACTCTTCCCAACCTGAATATCATAGTTCAAGCTCTAACAGTCCTGCTCCGTCATCTCCAACTACCTCGCTCCTCTCAACCAGCTCCATGGTTGAATCAAGTCCATTTGTTCAAACCAGCTCAATTAACACAATACATAACATACCACAAACTTTTAATGGTTTAAACCCGTCCCCAATTCATTCTTATTTTCATCCTGGATCAAGTTCATTCCATCCCGTCTCCACTGATCCCGGAACAAGCTCCAGTGCGGATTATGTTCTCCGGAGAAGAATGACCACAGACAGCATCTATACCTCAGGCCTGGTTCAGGTTCCGGAGAGAAAATTCTCAGCTCCACTCCCAACCATCCTAGTGACGGATTACGGGAGTCCTAAACCCAACCTGAACCTCAACTCCTCTACACACAATTATAGAAGTCAACGATCTCAAAGCCCCCTGGAGTTTGGGGATCATCAGGAGTCGGAGAATCAGATTTTAAACTCTGAGTTCCAGTCCTATGAGCAGTACTCTGACCCTTTAAATAGTTTACAAGAAAACCGATTGCTTCTCAACAGCTTTAAAACATTCGGTATTGGAGAATTTGAGCCTAAAATGGACCTGGAGAATACAAGAAACCTGACACTAGAGAACAGAAATGAGTACCTAGAGCTGAACCCTGGTTGTGAAGATCTGGATCGGATACTGGAATCGGAGCTAGAGCGGTTACAACACGGGAACAAGAACGTAGTTCTATGATATTAGAAGTTAAGTTAAAAATCTGTGATGACCTAAGAACCCAAGAAACCAAGGAAAAGTTTTGACAAAATTCTATTTAGATTGCTGAAGAATTATCAAATTATTTTCAAACCATCTCTTGAACTAATGTCAGGGTAAAACCTTACCTTTATCAAATAAATAAATAATAAATATATTAAATTGTAATCATTTAATCAAATTTAAGTCTGTTGAACGGTAAATATAAGGTTACCCACAAAGGATGAGACTTCAGAGACGACTTTACAGAATTTAATGTCTATTCCCTTATATTTATTATTCTCTGCAATAGTAAACTTGTTTTGTTCTTTGCATGGAGAATAGAATATATATTAGAGGGGAATTTACTAGAAAAAAGTGTAAAACGGCCATTTTGTTGTACTGTTTCCATACTGCAGGTGTACTTCACATTTTTATGCTATATAACCTTTTGGGCCCTGGAATATCATTTTATAGAAAATCTAAAATTATTGTTAAAAGAAAACCAAATAATGAAATAGGCTGGTTTCATAATTGACCAATGATCATTTCACAAGACCAACAACTCTTAAAATATGACTACAGTACAAAATTCATACCGAGAGATTCTTTAAATTCCCCTCTAATCAATATTCTATTCTCTATGGTTCTTTGCCCAATCATTGAATAAACCATTAAAAGATTATATTCAAGGTAGAAGACTTTATCTAACGGAATTGTAGGATTCAAAGAGTTGCAGGTCGTCTTTGAAGTCTCATCCTTCGTGGGTAGCCCTGTCTATATACAGGATGCCCCCGAACATATTTGATCTGAATTGGTATTTTTGAGACAGTAAAGGAAAGTTCAAAAGAATAAACTATTTCATAACAATCCTTATCTTTGCTTACAGAAAACAGATTTCTTGCTATTGTGTATTTACTTTGCATTAAAGCTTGGAAATACTCCAATATAATGTAGGACCCTGTATGTTGTAATATTGGTTATTGATATATATAAGAACGGGTAACCCGATGTCTAGTATTTTACAAAAACTTTAAAAGGAGGTGGAAATGGGGTGGGGTTGAAAAAAATCTGACAGGATTGAGACGGTTTACAATAAACATTTCTTGAGTTTTGAAGAATATACCTGAAGATATTTTTAAATTAGAAATTTGTTAACAATAATATATTGTTAAATTTAAATATGGGTTAAATAGATAGAATTGGACGGATTATGTTTATATTTTCAAATATATTTAATTCATTGATAAGAATTGTTTAATATTTTAAATAATACTAGCTGAAGGGCTCGGCGTTGCCTGTGGAAGAAAATTTTTTAAATTATAAATTTTGAAGAAAAAACATTTTTTTAATTTTTAGCCTATGTCACCCCCATACTACCCACGAGTGTCCGCAAAAACATCAGCCCATTTGGTCCAGTCGTTTTCCCGGCTATAGGGAACATGAATAACAATGTTTTGGTTTATTATAAAGAACTAGCTGAAGGGCCCGACGTTGCCCGTGGGAAAAAAGGAAAAAAAAATGTGGAAAAAATTCAAATTCATTGTCAACCCCCGGCTACCAATTAGTGTCCACAATAAATTTCAGCCCATTCTGTCCAACTGTTTGGTCGGCCAGAGGGAACATATTTATGAATGTCTTGTTTTATTATAAAGTNTATATAACATGCGTATATAACATGTGGATATAACATGTGTATATAACACTTGTATATAACATGTGTATATAACATGTTTATATAACATGTGTATATAACATGTAACCGGATTAATTTGCTCTTTTTACGCTTCTCTGTGTCAAATCAAAACTAGAGGAGCATCAAGGTTACAAAGTCAAGCCTGTACTTATGTCGAATTATTTATACCTTCTCATTCCGTCTAGTTTGCAGTGATACAAGGGATATTAAATAAACATTAGAATTCTGAGGAATTTTTTGTTTATAGTATCGTTAATTTTGAACAATGGATAAATGCTTGATCTCTATTCAAATTATCCCTGTTGATTAAGACCACCACGGGATATCGAAGAAAAATTTAAGTTAATCCTTGTGTCTATATAATCTGTAGATCAATGCTTAATCCCGAGATTCACAGCACAAAAGTTCTGACATCTGGGAAATTAAAGTGGTTATCACGGAGTGGAGTGTACAGATTATCAAGTACAATAGGTGGCAACAGAGAAATTGACCAGATACATGACGTCACAAGTGTCAAATATTACAAGGAAATCGAAATTTTCTCACATTAGTTGACATGTTTTTAAAGATTAAATAAAAAAGTTTAAAACAGAAAATAATGAACACATAAAATTGCACTTATTTAAATGTAAGATAAGCACTTTATTCTAAAATCATCACTATTATTGACAATTTTGTCGGACAAAAAAAGTGAATTGACGCTTGTGACGTCAGAATACGGAAATTGATCTAAAAATGATTGAATGAAGGGATAAGAAAGGATGAATTCAAGAATAATTGAATGAAAGGAAAGGATAAAAAAGAATGGATTAAAAAATGAATGATAAGATTTGAAATGATGAATTCAAGAATAATTGAACTAAAAGGATTAAAAAGGATGGATTAAAAAATGAATGAAAAGATTTAAAGAATGAATTCTAGAAGGATTAAATAAAAGGATTGGAAAGGATCGATTTAAGTAGAATAAATGAAAGGATACGAAAGAATGGATTAGGATGGATTGAATGAAAGATTAAATTCAAGAAAAATTTGGTGAATGGATAAGAAAAGATGGATTCAAGAGACAAGAATAAGTGAACGCAAGGATAAGAAAGGATGAAGTCAAGAATGAATGAAAGAAAGGATAAGAAAGGATGAAGTTAAGAATGAATGAATGAAAGGATAAGAAAGGATGGATTCAAGAAGAATTGATTGAAAGGATAAGAGATGAGGGATTCAAGAATTAATAATTGAAAGGAGCAGAAAGGAAGAATTTAAGATTGAAAGAATAAAAGTATTTTAAGGAAAGGAATGATAAACTGTATCCTAATGTCGGATGTGAATAAGGTTTCCTAGTTTAGGTGACCAAGCAGTGTTGTATTTAGTATTTAAATGAAAAATCAGATTCTTTATTTTAGTTCAGACTAATCTTTAGAAACAGAGACTTTACAGCAAACCATTGAACTGCATTGATTCTAACTTATATCACATTAACTCCGTTAGATATTACTTAATAATATTTTTATTGTGATTACTGATTTTCCCATCAATCAATCAATTCAATCGCCTGAAAAATGTTTATTCTATTATTTTTTCTAGTTTAAACTAATCTTTTTACCTGTTACCTTATTATTAATCTACAAATGTTGCATGTACGTACAGGATTTCCCGCAAAGGATAAGACTTTTATGAAGACCAACAACTCTTAAAATATGACTACAGTACATAATGGTTAATTTTGTCATCTTTATTAAATAAGGTCTATTATCAATATATGAAATGGCAAAGAAAGAAATGTAAGTACACTTGCTTGCATGGCCACATAAATGGGAGAATTTCATGTACAAGATTTGTTATTGTACAGTTGTCTCTGAAGTCTCATCCTTTGTGGGTAACCCTGTATGTGCTGTAACTATTGAACACGCTTGCATTGTAAATTGAAATAAGCAAAATATATCGACTTCATACTTGAACTTCAACATACAATCTCTTAGAATAGATCTGAAGTTAGAAACAAATGCTTTACAGCTTTAGTTGATGCATAATGTTCAAACATTGAGTGCGTCATTTCTGAGCATATTCCTTTTTTGCGTCAATTTCAGTGCAGTATCATCCAAGTATTTTGGTAGATTTATGAATATGAAAATACAATTATAATTTTTTTCGAATTTGAAAATTAATCAATTTGGTCCAGCCGTTAACATATATTTTAATATTTTTTTTTATATTTATGTGCGAAGAGCTTTATTATATATCTATATCTATCTATATATATTTATTTATATATTTCAATTAAGAAATTATAATCGCAGAAACAGAATAATGTATTTATGTTTTAATGATATCTACGATTTTTCTTTTCTCTTAAAGTATAATTATAGTTCAATAAGTCTTTCATTTGATCAGAATCAATCCAATCCGATTCTAGAATTAATTTAGTAAAATCTTATCCGTCATTTTTATTAAAATTTTTATTTATCGAATTGAAAACAAGAATTGCAGTAGAGGAGTAGGGGGGGGGGGCAGTTGATACTTGTTGAGAAATTTCCATTTACCAAAGTAATTAAGTTTAAAACTGTGCCATTACACAATTGGTTTAAAAATTTAGCTATTTTGTACATTATATTATTAAACACTGTATATTATACAATACGTCAACTTAAAGTAAATTTGACGTAACATTGAAATTTTACATGTTTTCAATTTTTCAATTTTCGTATGTAACAAAGCAAATATAGTTTTCTCCTATCTTGTCCAGAGCGTCGTACAAGTATTTATGAATAAATTTGAATTTCTTCTTTTCTAATTGAGTATATTGTGCATTGCACATGTTACATATATAAATATCTTTCAAAAACACATTTCAAAGATAGACAAATGATGAAGTCAGCTCTACTTCTTGGTTTCTTTGTTGGATCCGTCCTTACTTCCGGTGGATACGGAGGAGGAGGAGGAGGTGGTGGTTATGGAGTAGGGGGGCATGGAGGCGGTGGACATGGAGGTAAAAATATATTCAAATCTTGATGAGATTTACCATTCCTATCTCTTCTGAAAGAATCCCCTTTTTACATTACAAAATCATTTAACTGTCGAAACTTTAGGAAATCTAACCAGAGCCGAGTTTAAAATAGTCTAAGCTTAATAGCTTAATTTCTTAATTAACAACTTTATCTTGTTATTTGTTAAAAATTAGATAAAAAGATTTATATCTTCTTCTTTTTATATCAAGGAATTATTTAACTGTCTCAACTTTAGCAAAAAAAACTAGCTGCAGTACCCGGCGTTGCCCAATTAAATTTTAAAATACTTAGGAAAAAAATCTTGGATTTTGAAAAACTAAAATTTTTATTTTTTAGCCTATGTTATCCACAGGGTAGCCATGAGTTTCCTAAAAAAATCTAAATTAACTATAGCTGAACAGATATTAACTATAGCTGAACAGATATTAACTATAGCTGAACAGATATTCTGTCCAAGTTTTCTTTTATTAAACTTTGCAATATTTTTATCCTAAAAAGTGGGAAAACGATCCAAAAACGATTGTTATAATATGCTCGTGTTGGATTGTTTTTGTTAATTTTTATTGTATTTATTACCTTTCAGGGTCATAATTTGGCATATAGTGCAAGAAAAAAAAATGTTTTGAATAAACAATTTTGAAAACATTTGTTCTTGTTAAACTAGGCCAAACGACCGGGAAAGAAAATATAGGCAGAAAAGGAGCCAAGTTTATGCACATCAATAATTACAGCAAGCTGTATACTTTATGCACATCAATAATTACAGCAAGCTTTTTACTTTTGCCATCATTTTGATAAATTAAGCATAGTTTTTTTGCGAAATAAAAATTCTTTAAAATAAGCCAAGATTAGTTCTACTGAAACACTTGAATCAGAAATGTTAAAATACGATTTTTGTCTCAACATCAAACAATTGTCAAAATATCGAAGCGAAAACAAATGGTCATTATTCATTGGATTCTTTCTCATAACTACCATATTTTGAAAACAAAATTTTTTTTCCAGCTAACATGTTTTGCTTTTTTTCAACCCATAAAGTAATTTTAGAAGTGCAATTTTAATTATACAGAAATTTTATTTTCTCAAAGTTTTTAGAGATCTATAATACTCAATACTCATCCAATACCACCATAGATAAAAAATTGCCACTTAAGAATATTGAGATTTTTACATATTATGATAAACATATGTATTTTAAAACATGTATAAAACAATCTACCATATTTTATATCTCTTCATTAAACAATTATGCTAAATAAACGTTCTTAAATCATGTTTTAAACATATCTCTTGTATTAAATATTATGCTAACATTAACCAAGTTTTAGAAAATTTTTCTTGTATTAAATTAAAAATTCAAATTAATTCACATTGTGAAATGCAGCTTTCATTGTTTTCTTAATGTTGTTTACATAAAAATAAAGTAAACCTGTCCTATTACGTCACAATATAATGTAAACAACCTCTCTCGTAGGAGGAACCGGTTCTGGTACAGCTTGCGTGGTTAAAGGCTCATACTGCAGCTGTCACTACTGTACATGTGAGAAAGGAAAAGTAAACTGTCAAGGATATGGAGTAGGAGTGAAAGGATATGGTAAGTTTAAAGTTTTCAAAACAAAATATTTTGCTAAAACGTCCATTTTTTAAAAGTTTTTTTAATTAAAAGAAAACTATTCTCGTACATAACAGCGTTTCATAGAATGATATTTTCATAGGCAAGGTAATAAGGAAAGGAAAGTTAATTGCTGTTGTGTATTCTCTGCGTCCATATTGAAACCAGTTCTCTCTGGGCGGTGTTTGTAAACAAGAATAGATGCTTCATGCATCAATGTTCTTCTAGTATCCGAGGAGGATAAAAACGTTTGATTTTGATAATATTGATAATTCCTATAATAGTTTCCTATGACCAACATATTTCATTAATCTTTTATGTGAAAATGGATCCCATGTCAGGCTGAGACATCCGTCTTGTGTTTACTTAACCCCCCAGAGACAGTACACTGCAGTACTAAAAATAAGTACACCTCTGAAATAACTTTCTTTACATTACAATTCTTTGGTCCTAGGTAAGAATTACTGCTACGGAACTACTGAGGGTGAGTACTGTACATGTGATTACTGTAAATGTCAGAATGGGTTTGGACAAAATGGCGGCTACGGTGGTTCCGGTGGTTGTGGAGGCGGCCATCACAAGAAAGAAATAAGAATTGTAGAAAAATATTGTTTTTTTTAATGTTTAAATGTATAATCTTTTAAAAGTTAAAATAAAAGTTAAAAAAGTTATTAAATTGCATATAAGTTTTTTTATAACAGCAATAAATAGTTAAAACATTATAACAACGATAATACTATATTTTTATTTATGAAATGTTGTATGCTTTCAATCATAAACTCCTATATTTTAATGCAAGGGAGAAGAACAAAAAGGTGTTTAATTTTGATAATTTTCTTTTTTTTAAAAAGTGCAACCTATACATGTACAATCTTTTTCCTCTTTTTATTAAAAATTGAAAATTGGTTTATTGTTGTAATGTAGTATATTGATGAATATGTACACCTGGTTTATTCTTGTAATGTAGTATACTGGTGAATGTACTCCCTGGTTTATTGTTGTCATGTAGTATACTGATGAATATGTACACCTGGTTTATTCTTGTAATGTAGTATACTGGTGAATGTACTCCCTGGTTTATTGTTGTAATGTAGTATACTGGTGAATGTACTCCTGGTTTACTGTTGTAATATAGTATACTGTTGAATGTACTCCCTGGTTTATTGTTGTAATGTAGTATACTGGTGAATGTACTCCCTGGTTTATTGTTGTAATGTAGTATACTGTTGAATGTACTCCCTGGTTTATTGTTGTAATGTAGTATACAGGTGAATGTATTCCATGATCAACTAAAACCGTGTTTAAAATTGACAGTGACTTGGCAACATTTTTGTTGCTGTTAATAATTGAACTTAAAAATATATTTCTTACACAAAAATACTCTTTTAAGCGGAACCTAGATACAAACAGTTTGCAGCTTTATAATATTCATATTCAGGGCTTCAAAAGAGTGTAAGTTGGTTGGTAAGGTCAAGATGGAGGGTAAAGGTCCCCCAACAGTTGATGAATAATTTTAATCTATATATATACTTCGCTTGTCTGTCTGTTTGTTTGTTTGTATCCAATAAACGTCAAAACGGCTGAACCGATCGGCTTCCGAAAAAATTCGATTTTCATTAAATTTTGAAAGTGCACGAAATATTTTTATAAAATAGCGAACTTTTTTTATAACTTTACAATTTATACACAGACAAAATGTTCACAATTGAAATAGAAAATGGGCGCAACGTGCCCTAAAAGCCTAGTGACTGTATGTTGGCTGTGTGCTTTAACTTCATGAGAGTGTCAACGTTGTTATTGTCTAATGTATTTTAAATTTCTGAAAAAAAAAAAAAAAATATATAAAATCCTCCTAAAATGTCCAATGCTACGAGTAATTGGGTTCTTTTATTATTATTAGTACAGTGAAAACCAGAAAACTGTGGAATAGGAAGACGACATTAAATCAATACTAAAGTGAATTTGATGGTGTTACAAAGCAAATAGCTTTACTAGTAAGTTATCATATCACTAATTAAGTGAAACAGGGCCTGTTTACACTACAGCATTGCAGTGCCTCAAGTTCATCAGGCTATTTTAAGTAATAACTTGAGTCTATAAGTCGTCTTCCTATTCCAGAGTTTTCTGGTTATCACTGTAGTATTATAATTATTATTATTTGTATCTATATGGTAAAGCTCTTCGCTCAAATATATTTGTTTGTAATATATGTTAGCTTTAGCTCATAGCTGGCCGAACGGCTGGACCATAATTGGCTGACATTTTTGTAGGGAACCCTCGAGTACCCTGGGGGACACATAGGCTAAAAAAATCTAAATTTTTTTCTTCAAAAATTCAATTTTTTAAAAATTCACGGGCAACGCCGTTCAGTTCAGCTTGTTATTATTATTATTATTATAGTCATTATTATTTTTCTTGTTATATTTTTTTTATAAATTCAAATTTACGGTATTAAATTCAAGTACTGAGATTTATTTTATTAAAAAAGTTTTTTTTACTGATGTAAGAATAAAGCGTAATGCTAATATCTCGATGTGATTAACACATAAGAATTATAATAAACATTGTATCAATGAAGTCGTCTTTTGAGTTTTGATGAGGTTTGTATGGTTTATAAACTCGATTTTTTTTTATCTAATTGAGTATTAATTTTTATCTTTAATAATTTCGGTTAAATTGATAAAAATGAAACATATGGAAAAAATCAATTACTGAAATTAATTGTCATCACTAATCAACTAATCACTTGAAATAAAACAGTTTCATTAACAAAATGACATTGGCAAAAACAAATTAATGATTTTTTGAAACGTATTCAAATTAAAATTTATTTTCTGTAAATCTACTGTGGAATACTGGGGGGGGGGGCAAGAAGTCCACCCTGTTTTACAATTTAGCGATTCATGAATTCCTAGGAAAGGGGATTTAATTTTATTAAGTATTTTTAGATATTTTCACTTATTATGATATTGCTTTAATACTGTAGTACAACGTTCAATTAATCCTACATGTTCACCGCAAATATTGTGTGATGTGTCATATCAAAAAAAAATATTTTTCATGTAAAATCATGATTTTTTAATGAGTACAATGTGCATATTTGATTTATGGATGAATAATGAATTTATATTCATGTAAATTGTAAATTAATTTTAATATTGTGTTTTATATATGTGATTTATACCAGAATAGATTTATATTAACCAGAATAGATTTCTTTTTTATTCCATATCAGATGTGTTAACTTACTGAATATCCGGTTGGTACGATTAGATTTTTTATTACTGGTTTTCAAGTACCCCAGCGGGGATAGGGTTAAAAAGCAATTCGTTTTTTCAGTAACTTAAAAACTATTTATTAAGTAAAATTTAATACACTCGGGGGGGTAACCGGGTGGATGCCCTCCCTCCCCAAGTTAGGATCAGATTTTTGATCAAGATATCGATTTGTTAAGGATGATTAATCTGATTATTAGGTCAGTAAGGTGTTTTTAGAGTGAATTTTAGTTTGCTATAGAAAACAAAACAAAATTACGCTAGAATGTCAAGTTTTGATAATAATTAACATTTTATATGTAAGCGATAGTCATCATAAAATTTATGCTTACTAGAACACATAAAATTTAATAAAATTGTAAAATGTAAAAGAATCAAAATTAAACTAAATTGACTAGTTTTAAGCACAAAATTATGTATAAATTTCCGTCATATTTTAAATCTCTAATTCAAAATCCATTGAGAGTATAACATAAACACTATTTTTCCCTTGATATTTAAAATATATAGCAAAGGTATTTGCTAACTTGTACTTTTTTATTGTTTCGGGGGAAAGTTAAGACTCGCTGACTTTAATCCAGGACCTCTGATTTATGTGCGTGAGATTTGAAATTTTAGATAAGATTTAAATATATATACAAATCTTAACATCTTAACATATGTTTCTCTAGTATATGACCTGATGTTACATATTTTTTTTGTAAATTTCAACATATTTCTCCTTTAAATCTTAATATATTTCTTCAGTAAATGTTAACATATTTGTACTGTAAATCTTAACATATTTCTCCTATTTAAATCTCAACATATTTCTACTGTAAATCTGTACATAAATCTCCTATTTAAATCTAAACATATTCCTCCTGTAAATTAAAATTTTAACATATTTCTCTTGTAAATCCTAACATATTTCCACTTTAAAGCTTAACATATTTCTAAGCTGTAAATCATGAACATATCTCTCCTGCATAATCTGTACATATTTCTCCTAAAAAATAATAACCATAAATTTCTTCAGTAAATCTCAACATATTTCTCATGTAAATCTAAACATATATTTCTCTTGTAAATCTAAACATTTCGCCTGTAAATCTTAACATATTTCTTCTGTAACTCTTAATATTTTTCATCTATTTAACTTTTAACATATTTCTTCAGTAAATCTTAAAAAATTTCTGTATATCTTAATATATTTCCACTGCCAAAATCTTCACATTTAATTGTAAAACTGAACAAATTCTATTGCAAGATCATATGTATTTCTACTGTAAATCCTAGCATATTTCTCCTGTATCTTAACATTTCTCCGGGGTAAATTTTAACATATTTCTCCTGTAAATCAATTAACATATTTCTTCTTTAAGTCTATAAACATGTTAATATCCTAAAAATCGGAGCATGATTCTACTGTAAATCTTAACATATTTTTCCTGTAAATCAATTAACACATTTCTTCTTTAAGTCTAAACATGTTTATCCTGAAAATCGGAGCATATTTCTACTGTAAATCTTAACATATTTTTCCTGTAATTGTAAATCATAACAAAAATATGTTATGATATGGCTTACTCTGTAAAAAGTACATATTCCTGTACTGCTAGCGGAACCGCGGTATTAAGGTGAAAAAGATGCGTTGGCATGGGTGAAAATTCCGACCCAACACGGCATGGCTATGCATATCTTTGGATTAATGTCGAAACGGGTCTGGGCCAGCTGAGCGGTGATGGAACGGTACAGGATTACTTGGGCTGATGCGTTGGCAATCTGTTAGCAGGGACCGGTTCCGGCCTGTCCTGGATCAGAAATCGGAACATCTAAATATATTATGCATATTCATCTTTTAACTTTTAAATTGTTAATAAAACCTTCAGCAGAATTTTAGTGGTTCTTTGAAATATTTTCTTAAAAATTAATTATTTAAATAAACCTTGCCCCGATTTTTGAACCTCCCCTTCTCTGCCAAGGGAGCTGCGGTTGCCACGCTGGCCTGACAGTTCCACTTGTTTCTTCAATAGAGCAAGGTGAAGAGAGGATTTCTCCTTCACATTTTGGACGGATACCCTGGACTGCAGTACATGCTACTGTAACGACCCTGCGCGAACATGGACACCACCATGCAGCAAGCAGAGAGCGAGAACCCCGCCGCCGCACCCGTCGTAGACTTAGAGATGGAGGAGAAGGAGATTGAGGTGCAAGAGATAACTAATGGAGATGCAGAACACGTTCCAACTTACGACCAGCAATTTCCCAGCCTAGGAGGAGGAGGAGGAGGCGCTCTACCGACCACTTCTGCATCGCCGATCGGCCGTTGGAACAAGAAACCCCCGTTACAATCATCTACCATCACTCAAGTGTTCCATATACCGGCGGAAGAGCGAAAAGGAATGGCAACCGAAGGTTTCGGTGGCGGCGAAACTCACAAGAAATTGGATGCAATCATGAACAATACCGGAGCTAAGATTGAGATGAGCAGCTCAAAGGACAAGAGCCTTACCTTCCTTCTCACTGGTAAACCCGACTCCGTCTTGCGAGCCAAGCGAGACGTTCTGGTTGCATTCCAAACACAGGCAAATATGACAATTAATATTCCCAAGGAACACCACCGACATCTCCTTGGTAAAGGTGGTCTCAAACTCCAGGATATGGAGAAAAACACCGCTACGAAGATAACTATTCCCAAGTCCTCGGACAACAGTGATGTTATCACTATTGTAGGAGCTAAGGAAGGTATTGATAAAGCCCTCCATGAGCTCAGAATTATCTCTGATGAACAGTCTAAACAGGCTTTCGAGAGGATGGAAATCCCCAAGATCTACCATCCGTTTATCCAGGGACCTGGAAACGAGAACGTGAACAAGATGCTAGCCAAATACCCCGGAGTCAGGGTTAACATCCCTCCTCTCTCCGTTCAGAAGGATGAACTCTCCATTGCCGGGGAGAAGGAAGGTGTTCTGGCGATCAAGGAGCAGATCAGTAAGATCTGGAAGGACATGGAGAGGAAGTGCACCACCGTCAGTGTTGAAGTTAAGAAGAGCCAGCACCGTTACATCATCGGTCCTAAGGGAGTTGCAATTAACGAGATCTTGGCTGAGACCGGGGTTTTTGTTGAGATGCCTTCTAATGACTCAGACAGTGAGACAATTACTCTCCGTGGACCACAGGAGCAGATTGGTTTAGCTCTAACCAAGGTTTATCAGAAAGCCAACAGCGTTAAGTCTGAAGCTATCAAATGCCCTGCCTGGCTTCATAAGTATATTATCGGCAGGAAGGGAGCTGGTATTCAGAAGATCAGTGCTGCGCTCACGAAGGTTCATATCGGGTTCTCTGAAGATGGTACGATCAAAATTGACGGGCCTCCAGAGGAGGTTGAGAAGGCCAGGGAGGAGATTGATGCCCAGGTCCAGACTCTGATCAAGACGACTACTTTTGTCGACCTGAAGGTTGATGCCAAGTATCACAAGCATATCATTGGTAAGGGTGGTTCCACCATCAACAAGATTAAAGCTGAGTCTGATGTCTCAATTAACATTCCTGACACCGACAGCGGAACTACTATAATCAGGATCGAGGGAAGCAAGGAGGGTGTAGAGAAGGCAAAGGTTGAGCTCCAGGGAATGGTGGTCAAGATGGAGAACGAGAAAGAGAAGGACATCATCATTGAGAACAGGTTTCATCGTCAAATCATTGGACCCAAGGGAGAGACAATTCAGAAGTTGAGAGAAGAGTTTGCTGCAGTTCAGATCAGTTTCCCTGATCTCGGAGTCAAGTCTGATATCGTGAAGCTCCGTGGTCCCAAGGATGACGTTGATAAATGTGCCAAGCATCTGACTAAGATGTCGAGAGATCTTCTTGAATCCAACTACCAGGTCAAGATTCCCATCTTCAAGCAGTTCCACAAGAACATCATTGGCAAGGGAGGAGTCAACATCAAGAAGATCAGGGATGAAACCAACACTAGGATTGATCTACCTGATAGCTCGGCTGACAGTGATACTATCATCATCACTGGAAAGAAGGAGGATGTTAACAAGGCAGCTGATATGATCAGAGAGATCCAATCCCAGATGGCCAACGTGGTCTCCAAGGACATCTCTATCCCAGCCAAGATCCACAACACCGTGATCGGAGCTGGAGGAAAACTGATTCAGTCAATCATGAACGAATGCGGAGGAGTAGCGATCAAGTTCCCGGAACCAAACTCCGGCTCCGACAAGGTTACTATCCGTGGCCCAAGTGAGGACGTGGAGAAGGCTCTTCTTAGACTCCAGGAGCTGAGTGATGAGAAACAACTCTCCGGACACTCGATAGAGGTTAAAGCTAAACCCCAGCATCACAAGTTCTTGATCGGGAGACAAGGGATCAATATTCAGAAGATCAGGAATGAGACCGGAGCCAGGATAATCTTCCCTGGAGCTAATGATGAAGATCGCGAAAGCATCTTGATTATAGGTTGGTTTTTCTCTCAGGATTTAATTTCATGGGGGGGGGGGGGTGGCGGGGCTCTTAGTTGTTTTTAAACTCGACATTTTCTCAGATAGATGTTTATCATTTCTACTTTTGCGGCGTTTTTAAATTTTAAATTTTAATTAATAGAACATGGGTGTTGATATAGTCTCCCCTCCCCCTCTGCAGTAAGGTGAGGGGAGGGGGGGGGGATTCTTTAGAATAGATGCACCAATATAATAGTGAATATTCCTACAAAACTTTACAATAGTTTTAATTTTAGGAACCACTGATTCTGTGGCCAAGGCAAAGGTGGAGCTTGAGGCTAAGATTAAGGAGCTGGACAACATCATCGAGGACACCATGTCCGTTGACCCCAAGCATCATAAGCACTTCGTGGCCAGGCGCGGCAAGATTCTCCGTGAGATCGGAGACGAGTTCGGCGGAGTTGTGATCTCCTTCCCGCGTCCTGGTGTAGCCGGAGACAGGGTGAACCTCAAAGGAGCCAGGAACTGTGTGGACGCGGCTATTGCTAGGATCAACGAGATCATCAAGGACCAGGAGGAGATGGTCACAATTGACTGCGAGATTGAGCAACAGTACCACAGGTAGTTCGTCAGTAATATTAAACCCGCCCTTTAAAATCTTTTGTTCCTTTGAAATTAACTTGTTTGGATTGGTTTATCCCGGTTTTTTAATTAAGAAAAGATTTTTTTTGGATATGGGGGATTAATGAATTACAAAAAAGAAATAACTAAAATAATAAAGAAACTCACAAAAGTTTTAAGTTCAAGTCACTTATTTTTCCTGAAAGCTTGACAAATTGTTACCAGCTTTATCGAAATGAGTCTTTAATCAGTGCTTAGGATCCATTTAATTTTGATGCGGATCCGGATCCTGGATCCGCACTGGAATAAAATGGATCCGGATCCAGGTCATTCCTTTACTGATTTACTGATTTTTTTAACAAAAAAATTATTTTCAAATTTTTTGTTTTATTTTTTCGCATATTTAATCCTAGAACTTGATGAAGCATTCAGAAATGAGGAAATTTTTGGTTTTATTTTAAGTTCGGATTTGGGGTTTACGGGTAAATAAGTTTTTTTTGCAGTTTTTGGTTGAAATTTTACCCCTTGGATTCGGTTCCGTGCATCCGCTTATTTTTGCGGATCCGGATCCAGGAAGCCAAAATCTTGCGGATCCAACGGATCCGGATCCTTTCCATTGCATGGCTTTACTCTTTCTAATATTTTAAAATTTTGACTTTTATTTCTTAATATGGTCAAAGATACCCTGGTTTCCAAGATCCAAATGAAACCCAATTCTCGTTATTTTTTCTACGATTTAGTTCTTCATTGTAATATATAAATACATATATTTATATATGTATATTGTATATTTATATTTACTTTTAATGATTTGGTTGAGATCTTTGGTCCCTATTTTATTACCCAATAATCAGCGTGTTTGATTCGTATTCCAATGGTTCATGGTTCAAGCCCCGCACACTGCAAAATTAAAAAACGGAAATACTGATGAACTTTAAAGGACGAAAAACTGTGTATGGATATATTTTTATATATATCTTTTATTAAGGACTGTAATGGGAGCTAAAGGATCCCAGGTTCAGAGAATAACTCGAGATTTCGACGTGAACATCAAGTTCCCGGACAAAGCAAATGAGAACGGAGAACCTCCTGTCCCTAGCGCAGATAGATCCTCAGATCCTAATATTATCAGGATTACAGGTAGTAAAAATCTCTTGATTTTCTTTTTTTCTGTAAAATAATATTTTCTTTAAGTAATAGTTTCAAGTTTGTAAATTTAAATAATATCTTGTATATATTTAGGATCTCTAGATGAACTTTTTATTACTGTGTTGTTATACATCTGTATGTACTTTTATTATCTAAATTTAATTTAGACATTAGAGCTTCGATAAATTGATCATCTTTTTTTTGTATATTCATTAAGCTGTACTTATGATTTCGATATATTGATCACCTTGATGTATATATATTAAGTTGTGTTAATTATTCTGATAGATGTCCCGACCTATACATATATTGATCTTTGAAACATGTATATTGATCTTTGAAACATATAGATTGATCTTTGAAACATGTATATTGATCTTTGAAACATATATATTGTTCTTTGATATACATATTACATATTTTGTTCTTGGATTTGAATAATTGAACTTTGAGACAGTTCTACCCAGAACTTCGAAATTTTTAGCAGGTCGTTTTCTAAACCTACTGTGTGGAATGCTGCAGACATTTAAAAAAAATTTAATAATGATATTAAGCTCGTTTCCTCATATTTCATAGCTATTTATTTTTACAATTATAGTATAAAACCCATTGCAAAATTGTCAAGACTACATTTTAAAAATTCTTACAATGTCTCCGTGGTTCTGGGTTGAACTGATATATTTACTGTTCGGTTTCTCATTGTTTATTCTTGTATTTAACACACTGCCTTTGTATTAGTGAATACAATCGATTAGGTTCAATCCTTTCATAGCAAACTCACAACAATGAATGTTATATCCAGGCCCCTTCACATCAATACTTCTTACGTTAATTTATTGTTAATTTGTCAGTGATTTTTCTCCCTCAACTCCCCCCCCCCCTTAGTGCATAACTTTTACATTCAGAATATTGAATCCGTCTTTTGGGTTGAAGGGTCTAAATACATAATATCAAGGGACCCTCCAGTGGAATATCTGATTCACAACCGTTCCATTTAAAGATTTATTGAATGAGCGATCCATGTTTCTCTTTTTGAAATTATTTAAGATTATACCTGTTTAACGTTTTTAAATTCTTGAAAATTTTATGTATAAAATAAGATTTTAGCGAAATTTTTTTCCGCTTGCCTAAGTTAATCAATCTCAAAAAATTAATTCAAATTTGGAAAATTTAAAAGGTTTTTTTTTTGTTTAAGATGGATCTGAGTATATTAAGAACTGTCCCTTAGTTTCACCCTTATTTTAAGAAAAATTACGATGATACAAATTCATGGATCTGTTTTCCAATATTTAGTTAAAATTATTTTAAACTTACTTCCAGCTGCAGGAAATATATTAATTAATGAAACGAAAAGAATATTTCATAAATTTATCTTTAAATCGAGAATTTATATTTATTTGTTTCTTAACTAGAAGATAACCTGTTATCTTATCTTCATAATGTTTATTTATCCTAAATATTTTGTTTTAAATGTAGAGAATTACCTCCCCCCCCCCCTGAAGTTCTGGCTGAAGCATAATTTTCTATTTTAGCAAATTTGCAAACGATAAATTCAGATTAACATTTGCCAAGTTGAGTGTTTTCTTCATCCTGCCGTAATTAACACTAAAATCTCATCCTTTTTTTCTCACTTTTTAGTCTTTAATTTTTGGGTGGGGGGTTAACCTGTTTTAAGGTTAGCTTAGCCATTGAGTAATAAACAATTGAAATTCACGAATGTGCAAATTTATCGGGAAAAAACCCCCATTAAAAAAAATTTAAAAGAAATGCCCTTGTTTTTGTGATATATTTTTATTTCCTATTTCTATGAATTCTAGAATTGTGGATATTGTATTTCGTAGTATTTAATTGAATAATACAACTTTTCAAATTGATAATGACGTAAGCTGATAAAACTTTCATATTTAAAAATCTCTTAACTGAGATGGTTAGTTAAGTACTGCTTACATCTTTGAAATATAATGAAATATTCTCGGATAAATAATCTTGGTCTGTTCAGGTAAAAACCTGAACTGCGAGGCCGCTGCTGCAGCCCTCAAGGACCTTGTCCCGATCACCGCCGAGGTATCAATCCCTTTCGAGTTCCACAGGTACATCATCGGCCAGAAGGGTAAGGAGGTGAGGGAGATGATGAACGAGTACGACGTGAATATCCGTGTACCGGCCGCCGACCAGCAGTCCGACATTATTCTCGTCTCCGGGGTTCCTGCTCATGTTGAGAAAGCTAAACAAGGATTGGCGGAGAAGATGATCAAGTTGGAGGAGGAGAAGGAGGAGAGGATCAAGAGATCCTTCGAGGTTACCGTTATGGTCAACCCTGAGTACCATCCCAAGATTATCGGCAGATCAGGAGGAGTTATCAACAAGCTCCGGGAGGACTACAAGGTTAACATCCAGCTCCCGCCCAAGGGATCTGAGAACGAGTCCGTCATAACAATTGTTGGACTTGAGGACGATGCTGAGGCCGCGAAGAAAGCTATCCTTGGAATTGTGAACCAGTTTGAGTCTATGATCAAGGAGGAAGTCCATATTGATCCAAGGATCCATTCTATGATCATCGGTAAGCGTGGTCGTTCAATCCGTAAGATCATGGATGACTTCAAGGTTGACATCAGGCTCCCGAGGGATGGTGACGAGGATCCTAGCCTTGTTGTTGTTTCTGGAGATGAAGAGGCTGTTCTCGACTGCATTGATCATCTGAAGGTATAAAAATAATATTTACATTTTGTTCTTCCTCATTTTAATTATTTTAAAAATTCTTATTTCAGATACAATTTAAAGTTTGACATAATAAAGGAAAAACACTTGCTGATAAATTTTAATTATTAAATTATTAAATCTGGTCTTTCAAAATAACTCCGAATTGTGAACATTTTAACAACTTTTCTTCTCGATCCGACTTTGACATAAATCTAGTTTTTATGCCAGGGAAAACAATTGATGAAATATTTATATTTTCTAAAATGAAATTTAAAAATCTAAATATTGTTTAGATCCTCGAGGAAGAGTATATGCAGGAGGAAGCTGAGAAGGAATGGATGACCCAGTATGAGAAACCGAACCGTCAGCTGGACAACAAGGACTCCAACAAGAACCCCAAGGAATTCAAGGTCTCCAAGGCCCCCTGGGACGTGAGCAGCTCTGAAGCTTTCCCTTCCCTCGGTGGTGGCGGTCCTAACAATAGCTCCGGCCCGATCGCCTGGGGACCCAAGGCCCGGCGTTAAACGCCGATAAATGACAACCTTCGTCCATGTATCCGAGTAGAACATGGTGTGTGGACTTATCTAGATTTAAAACCTTATAAATATCATATTTGCTTGAGAGTGGTGATGGTTTGAACACTTTACATAACGGGGTAAAACTAACAAGGCATCACTAACCTACAAAATATCGGTCTTCGTAATCTGTCTTGCTGCACAAGACGACCCATGCGCGAATAGGACTAAAGAAAATGGAATTGGAATAACAAAGGTCTGCAAGATAACAGGAAAGTCTTCCTTCAATTAAATATTTTTCCCTTTTTTAAAATTGTTATTTTATTAAAAATTATTTGTGATGCCATGGTGACATACTGCTATAATGGGCAACTTTATATTTATGTATTTCTGTTGAAACTATTTGGTTATTTTCCTTGTACCCTTTGTTATGCGTTATATAATATTCATATCATTATTTTTATCTACGCTAATCCTGCGATAATTTGCCTGGGTTACATGTGTGAATGTGCACAGTGCATTTTTATAGTTAAATGCTTTTGATATTTATACCTTCTATACCTTTTAGTTCACGAGGGTTCAATAAATTTTAAATAATAATTTGCATATTTTGGATTTAGAGATATTAAGAGATATGTTAATGAAGTCTTCAACAGAGTAGAAACTTAAACGAATTCCATTTTCTTATAAACATTTTCCTACACAGTTAAAAGACATGTTATTACAAAAAATCAAAGTCTGAAGTCAACAGCTGCATAGATACTGCACCTGAACCTGAAAGTCATGTTGGCGTCATTTTATCTGATTTCTTAGACTTTTTAGGCAGTCGACTTGGGCTTGGATTTATTGCTGCCTGTTTTCTGACTGTGCTAGAAAAATCACTAAATTTGTCAGATAAAAAAAAGAAGAGGGGTTTAAGTGTTATTCATATTTTATTGGGATTTATTAGTGTCTAAAGATAGCATAAAATGAGGTTAGGTTAAGTTATGACACTTTCTGGGCCGAGCGCTGCGGCTAGGATTCAATCTCGATCTACAAATGTCATCCCCCCTTTTAATCATGCTTATAAAGCGCGGCAGTGAAGTCTTCCCCACCTCGCACACTCGAAGGTTGGAGTTCAGCTCTGCCAAAAATTGACAAATGTTTGCAGTCAACATCCTCGAATTCTCTTCATATATTTTTAAAATCCCCCCTAGAAATACGTCACTCTATATAATATACAAGTGTCGGTGTTAAATACGTAAACATATCGTGATGTACAAAACCGACCACCCTATAAATTAATACTTAGTAGGGTGGTCGGTTGTGTACATCTGAGGTAAGCTTTACCTCTTCGTTTCCTTTCTCTATCATATTATTTCATCCATACGGTCAAAAACTGTCCGCAAATGTTTAATACAGGGTTATCCACAAAAGATGAGACTGGCTGACTACAGAATGATTTTAGTCTTGTTCTTTAAATATTTGCTCTTTTCAACTTTTTCTTTCCCGAACATTTGATACATGGTTTACAGACAAATGTTGACCTGAAGACTAAATTAAATTTTTAAATTGATATTTTGAAAGTTAAAAGAGATTCATGTCGTCATTACACGTTACAGTCAGCAGTCTTATTCTTCGTAGTTAACCCTGTATCTAGAGTCAGTTAACCCTGTATCTATAGTCAGTTAACCCTGTATCTAGAGTCAGTTAACCCTGTATTTAGGGTTAGTTAACCCTGTATCTATGGTTAGTTTACCCTGTATCTAGGGTTAGTTAATCCTGTATCTAAGGTTAGTTAACCCTGTATCTAGGGTTAGTTAACCCTGTATCTAGAGTCAGTTAACCCTGTATCTAGAGTCAGTTAACTCTATATCTAGGGTTAGTTAACCCTGTATCTAGGGAATTAGTTAACCCTGTATATAAGGTTAGTTAACCCTGTATCTAGAGTCAGCTAACCTATTTTTTATCAATTAGGACAATTATGATGCTTTCACATGTAATTTGTGATGCTTTGTGTAACCTAACATAACCCAAGCTGCGGAAATCTCTAAAATATCTTTAACCTATAGGGAAACNGGCTCTTCCGGCAGTTTTGTATTTATCATCAGTTCCTATTTTGTATATATATACATACACTTAAATACAGGACAGAAATGTGTATTTTTATATATAACTATAAAACTTATAAATAAAATGTTTTATTATGTTTATGAATTAGTGGAATTTAATAAATAAGACCGGATCCAAGGGGTAACATTAGCATACAACAAAATGTATTTAATATATAGGAATTGAGTCTTTGTCAATTTCGTTTTCTAACTATGCTATTTTAAACTTAGATTATTTAAATTATAATTATAGAAATTTGAATTTGTGACAAAGACTCAATTATAATTTCACTCTTAAATAAGATACAAATCTAAAGGTTTGAACTCCATTGGTCAGCTGACTGATCAGTAAAGTTTTGGCGAAATGAGAGGAAAATAATTCGATCTTGGAAAATTTTTAGTTACGCAATACGCAATAAATGAAAAAGACTCTAAACTCAGAAATTATATTCTACATTTCAGCTCTCCATCCTGCTCTCAGCTTCTCATATAAACTTGTTTTTAAATCCGCATACTCAGGATCAGAGTACCTGGAAGAAATTTTTTTATACTTTCGGCTGTTTGGATGTCTGTATCCAATCAACGAGACTTGTCAATACGACAAAAAATGGAAATCTACTACTAAACACTGAAAAATCCGCGAAATCTTAAATTTTATTTACTATAAATGTATGCCTAGAAACAGCTGTTGGTTTAAGTAAAACTTTGAGGGTCGTGAATCCTAGTAATTTTATACAATTCTTAGTCTCGCACACTTTTTAAAGCCGGCCATATTCACTCATAAACCTTTTTCTTGAAGAAAACTAGTGTGATGTAGAAATGAATAATGTAAATTTTGCGATCAATGTTGGTTTAAAAAGAATTTTTAAAAATCACCTGTTGACGGTCTCTTGGGGATCATCGGTGAGATCGTAGAGTTCATCATGATCACAGAGATTTATCCAGTCCGGAGTCCAGCTATGCTCCCCATCCGGAGTAGTTCCAGCCCATACCGTATACCTCATCCTTCTCCCGTCTTCCAGAGCTAGAATTATTAAATACTAGCTGAATTCCCCAACGTTGCCCAGGTTACTCATAGTTACCCTCACCGTTTACCCGCGCTTGGACTTTAACCATATTTTGTTAAGCCTGTCACCCCCGAGGTATCCATGGGTTCTCTCAAAAAATATCGCCAGCTATAGCGAACATATAAAGGAGCGAAGATCTTTACTGTCTAGATTAAAGAATAAAAGAGGATTTAAGCAGCATTGGATGAAAATTTAAGGGAAGGGGGAGGAGAAAGTTGCAAATAGAAGAGCGTGGTACATCATGGACGAACTGAAAAGTTTTTATAAAAGCAGTCCATGAAGCGCAATTTCAAGTGACCTTCCATGCAAAGAGGACAATGCCTGATTTACAACAGTACCCTTAAAACTTTTATCTTATCAACAATGTGAAAGATATTTAATTCCGATAATTCCTATATGTTTCCTATGTAAAATCACTTTTGTAGAAAAGTCACAAATGAAAATAATCAGTTTTCGAAATTATGAACTTTGATATCTAATTTATACTTGATCAGACAAAGGTTTCAAGGGTATCGTTGTGAATCGAGATTTTTATCTTTCAACGGTGGATCACGTTTTTTTTCAAAGTGGAACAAGATGCATTGTTGATCTTTGTGCAATTTTTTTTCAGAATCAACATTATTAAATACTTATTTACATTCAGATTCAGTCGTTGTATATATATCAATACAACAAACACAACTTTCGATTTCAATTTCTCATTTTTATTAAGTTAATTCAAATGACAATAAATAGGTTTTCTTGTTTACATGTAAACTTGTAATTTGAAAAAATCTTGTTAGAAATCAAAACTTGTACAGAAGTCTTCATTTCATAAATATAAACGCCAGATTAAAATATTAGCGACATTTAATGTAATAACGAAAAAGACAACACTGTAATTATTCAGCGAGAAAGTGAGAACCAGGAAACTGTGGTATGGGAGGACGACTTTTAGTCTCAACTTTTATGATTATAAGTTGTCTTATGAACATGAGCCACATAGGCGTCAAACCTTATAGAAATCCAACGTATAGAAACAGCTACGTATAGCAACATGGGGTATTTTCCGGGAGAAAATTGTTTTACATTTTTGAAAAATTAAACGTTTTTATAAAACATTGTAGCTTATCATTATCATTATCATAATTTCTATTTTTTAACATACCCTAGACATTAAAGGAGCAAAATAGTTTAATATGTACATTTGTACTGCTCTCTATTGTGTTTAAGGTCCCCCAGATTTTATTATGTACTGACAACATAAATGACTGATTATATGCTTATACATAAATTTGCATGTTACTATTTAAAAAAATATTTTATAAAAATGCTATCTACAGTTTTATTTTTAAGAAAAAAAAACTTCTCAAAAGTATTAAAAAGTTCTACAGTAATGCGAATATGATTTCATAAAATTCCGTTTTACTATTTAAATAAAAGGATTTTACGAAAATTATATCTACTTTACACTTATTATCTAATTTCTCAAAAATATAAAAAAGTTCTCCCGGAAAATACGCCATGTTGCTATACGTAGCTCTTTCTATACGTTGGTTTTCTATAAGGTTTGACGCCAACACAACAATTGGGTAGAGTGCACAAACAATTTCACTTTATTAGCGATTTTATGCTACTTGAAGGGAGTGACCGCCAATGTATGGTAGTTGAACCGAGAATGTAATATTGTGGAGAAATTTTAGGATTAGGATTTAGATCTAAGAGGATTTTAAAGATTGAATTTGCGCTCTTGCTGAACAAATATGCACCGTAAAAACGTCTCATTGGTCTTAAATGATTCCTAAACAATTTCTCCACAATACTACATTCTCAGTTCAGCCACATTGCCGGTCACTCACTTTAATAAAAATTTATTTGCGTTGTAACAATATCAAATACACTTTTTGCGTTAATGTCGTCTTCCGATTCCAAAGTTTTCAAGTTTTTTCTGTACGTACCTGTTAATATTGTATAACCCATACATTTGTACACAGATGTACTCCAAATTTCACCTCTTAGAACAAAAAATGAAGATTTGTATTAATTATTATTGAGTTTCAAAATAATCTTTTATTAGAAAAATTACCCCTCCCCAATTTCCTTCTTATCGAGATATTTTTGTCTTGATAAATAAAAAAACTTGAAATTTTAAAATGCTGGAAAGCATGTTAAAAGTTGTCTGTCTCGAGAATATTAGATTACCATTTTTTAATTCACCAAAACTCAACACATGTGAAACAAATATTCCAGTATTTGCGAAAAAACGAAGATATTGTCTTGTCATCATTTTATAACATTTTTTTCAAATATATTTCAGATTTATCTTCTATAAAATAAAGCTCTTCACTAATACATATATATTTGTATATAAGGATGTATGTATGTATATATATTTTTATGTCAGGCTAAACGGCTGGACTGAATTGACTGACATTTTTTGAGGAACCCTTGAGTACCTCAGGGGTAACATTGGCTAAAAAAAATCGAATTTTTTTTGTTTAAAAATCTATTTTTTAAAAATTCGATTTTTTAAAATTGCCAGTGGCTATTCCAGTCACTTCACCTAGTTTTTCAATACATTAAACATTAAAATCATATTTGAAGAATGTGATATTTCTTTTGATATGAAGTTTGCTCAAAGTATACAGTGTGTTCCAAGTAAACATGATAATTGAAAAGCGTCTTTCATCTTTGATAACGAAGTGTCTGATAAAAAAAATGTTGCACGAGCAGCACGAACTTTAACATGAGCTTTAAATATTCAAAATTTCCATTTTATCAATGAATGAAAATCTAAGGGAAATGCGTTTTTTTCTTTTAAATATTTTATATCTTATGTCCAATGTACACACTTTTGATTTTCTTCTTAATCCTCTTTTTTTGGATACCCCTATACTGTATAAAAGTTACGTTTGATAACAATTACAGATACGATGCTATATCGATCGGACTAATATCCGATTGCAGAACTAAAGTCGCTGTTTAAAAGCCAGCTTTTAGAGCATTTAAACAAATATAAATTTAATTATGTTAAAAGGAACTCATTAAAAAAACATATTTTATCACATTTGAGGACTTAAGCCATTTTGAATGTTAGTTTTAATAAACATTAATCCAAAACTTACGTTCGTTCAATCGATCATTAGTTCAATTGATATGACACCATCAACACCAGAAATGCGCAAAGATTAAAAATCAATTTTTCAAAAGTTAAAGAGCATATCTCTAATCTCCAGAAATTAATCTTGAGATTAGCAAAAAGAGAGGATCAAGCATTGATCTCGATATCCACCATTCTAAAGTTTTTAGCACAGGGCAATTATTGTTGGAAACATATCAGTTAGATAAAAAGTTACAAAAAAAAGTATTAAAAGAAATGAAGAAATGAGGATTAAAAAAATAAAACTAAGAATATGGGTTTTTAATCAACTCAGTCTGTCGTGAATAAGTTTGAAAAATCTAATCTAAGAGAAAATAAGTTATACCTCGGAAATTGCCAAAATACGGACTTCTTCCACTAAAAGAATATAGAGTGTCATTTATTGTTTAAAATTTATAGGATTCAGGCTGAAAGAATGTAAATGTTATGGACTTTCATGATTTGAATAATTAATTAATAATTAGAGGAACATGTTTAAGGAAGTGACCGGCTATGTAACTGAGGACGCAGTGTTGTGGAAAACTTCTTTAGGATTCATTTGAGACATATTTCACTTTTTAAAAGTCTGTAAATCCTGAAATCTATATTCCTGAGTATTTTTCTGCTCCTGGAGAAGAGGAAGCAAGCTACGTCCTTCTCTGCATAGTTCGATAGAGCCTGGAGAAGATTAATCACTGATATTTTGTCGGAAAAACTGTTAACTTTGATACAAAATTCTTTAGTTTGCACTGTAAGCACAGGTTGCACATTTTAGAATCAAAATAGCTGAAATAGAAATGTTGAAAGACTCTCCAATATCCATGTCCTAATTTAATGCTCTTAGGAAACTTTATTTATTCAAAATAAAATTATGTATGTTAAAAAACTTATTTTTCGACAAAAAAACTTTCAATCTCCGCAGGTTTAAACCATTCTGAGATATTCTCTATTTATGAAAAATTATGCCCCCGGGTCCCCCAACCGTATTTTGAAATATTATGCCCCCGGGTTCCCAACCGTATTTTTGAAATATTATGCCCCCCGGTCCCCAACCGTATTTCTGAAATATTATGGCCCCGGTTCCCCAACCGTATTTCTGAAATATTATGCCCCAGGGTCCCCAACCGTATTTCTGAAATATTATGGCCCCGGTTTCCCAACCGTATTTCTGAAATATTATGTCCCAGGGTCTACAACCGTATTTTTGAAATATTATGCCCCCGGGTCTCCAACCGTATTTATGAAATATTATGGCCCCGGTTCCTCAACCGTATTTATGAAATATTATGCCTTCAAGTCTCCAACCGTATTTATGAAATATGATGCCCCCGGGTCCCAAACCGTATGTCTGAAATATTATGCCCCCGGGTCCCCCAACCGTATTTCTGAAATATTATGCCCCCGGGTCCCCCAACCGTATTTATTAAATATTATGCCCCCATCCTCCAACCGTATTTTTGATCAAATAATGTCTAGATACTGAAAGTCAAGTTTTCACCTGACTCCTCTGGACACAGTGGGGGAGCTGGAAACCCTGCAGCTTGTAGGATTGTAGGAAATATATCAACAGATTCAACTTTACAAGCATTTAATATTATTATTTATATTCTATTTTTATACAAGAGGCCGAATTTAAAGAGTTTGAGCCGCGTCTCAAATTTGAGACACGGCTTAAACATGGTTGGTTCCACTTAAAATTGTATTCAGTGTTGCGAGATTTGAGCCGGCGCTCAATTGGAACCAGTTTTTGGCGGTTCAGCGATGCGGTCTATCTTCTTTAAACTCGGCCTCTAGTCATTTAAAAAGTTGTCCTAAAGTGTAATTTTAAAATTAGGCCAACAATTTAGAAGAAATAAAGGCCCTAGGACATTCTGGACCAGAAAAGAAGCCCCTTGGCGTTTCAAATATATGAAATTTATTTGGTTTATTTGAACTTAAAACTAGAGGTTTGATTTGTATTAAAATTATTAGTTTTCCTTACAAAAACTTTTTATTTAACCCAAACTTTAGTTTTTGATCAAAATTATTTTTAAAGAATGAAAATATTTAGAACTTTTCCTAGTTGGTCAGTGGTTAAACCATCATCTGTAACCCCTGAACAAATTTTTTTATGACACAATGGTAACATGTTCTGGAACACTGATGATAAAGAAACCCTATTTATTACCTGGAAGCCTGATGATAAAGAAACCCTGTTTATTAGATGGAACTCTGATGATTTAAGGAACCCTGTTTTTTACCATGGAACCCTGATGATAAAAGGAACCCTGTTGATAACAGGAACCCTGTTTATTACCTGGAACCCTGATGATAACAGGAACCCTGTTTATTTCCTGGAACCCGTATGAAAAAAGAAACCCTGTTTATTCCCAGGAACCTGATGATAAAAGGAACCCTGTTAATTGCCTGGAACCCTCCTGAAAAAAGGAACCCTGTTTTTTACCTGGAACCCTGATGAAAAAAAGATATCCTGTTTATTACATGGAACCCTGATGATAACAGGAACCCTGTTTTTTACCATGGAACCCTGATGATAAAAGGAACCCTGTTTATTACCTGGAACCCAGATGTTCAGAAGAATTCTGTTAATTACCTGGAACCCTGATGATAAAAGGAACCCTATTAATTGCCTGGAACCCTTCTGAAAAAAGGAACCCTGTTTATTACCTGGAACCCTGATGAAAAAAAGATATCCTGTTTATTACATGGAACCCTGATGATAACAGGAACCCTGTTTTTTTACCATGGAACCCTAATGATAAGAGTAACTCTATTTATTATCTGGAACCCAGATGATAAAAGGAACCCTGTTTATTTATACCTGGAACCCTGATGTTCAGAAGAATTCTGTTAATTACCTGGAACCCTGATGATAAAAGGAACCCTGTTTATTACCGGGAACCCTAATGATAAAAGTACGCCTATTCATTACTTGGAACCCTTATGAAAAAAGGAACCCTGTTTATCACATGAACCCTGATGATAACAGAAACCCTGTTTATTACCTGGAACCCTGATGATAACAGGAACCCTGTTAATTAGCTGGAACCCGTATGATAAAAGGAACCCTGTGGGCTACCTGGAACCCTGATGATAACAGGAACCCTGTTAATTACCTCGAACCCTGATGATAACAGGAACCCTGTTATTTACCTGGAACCCTGATGATAACTGGAACCCTGTTAATAACCTGGAACACGTATGATAAATGAAACCCTGTTTATTACCTGGAACCCTGAGGATAAATGGAATCCTGTTTGCAATCTCAAAATTTGTTATTTTACTCCATTCACTGTTCTCTCCTAGACTCCAACCATGGTCCCCCCACAACACAACTAAATCATTTAACAAATATCTCACGTTTATTTCTTCAATCTTGGAATTTTTTAATTAAAACATTTTGAGTTGAACTAACGACTTAAATGTCGTATTAATTTTCCTACGTTTAAGAATAGTTAAGAGTGTACATTGAGAACCAGAAAACACTGGAAAAGAAGGAAGAATTTAGACTCAAGTTATGATTTTGAATAGTCTAATGTACACGAGGGCAATGTACAGTGTGTGTACTGTGCACAGACCATTTAAGTTTGAATCTTAAATTACTAATAAAACTATTTGTGTTGTAACAACATCAAATACAGATTAAATATTGCCTAAATGTCTTTTTCCTATTCTACAGTTTTCACTCAAAACTTGTTGAATTTTTTTTTAACGAGTGGATGTCTATTCTATTCCCTCCCCTGTACATAATTCTTTTATGTCTTTTTTAAGTTACTAGGTGAAGGGCCCGGCGTTGCCCGTGAAAAAAAAAATTGAAAAAAAATTTCCAAATTGTTTTAGTCTATAACACACCCCGGTCACCCATGAATGTCCACAAAAAATGTCAGCCCAATCCATCCAGCATTTTGGCTGGCTATACGCAACATATATATATATGTGAATGTCTTGTATCATATAGATAATTTTAACTTACCAATCGTGTTCTCAGCCAGACCAAGTCCCTAAGATCAAGAAAAGCAATATTAAGCAAAAAGTGAATAATTCAAAAATGTTTTTTACAATTACTAAGTTTAATCTCATTTTCTGGATAAATCATGTGATATATGGCATCCATTTTCTTCTTTTTTTACCTAAAACACTCTTATTCTATTATCTTAAGGGGGCTGTAAACGTATTTTCATGAGACCTTCCATTTCTAGAGGGGCATGTTCAATGTACAACGGAGCTCATTAAATCAATTTGTTTGAGCAAAAACGAGTGTGCTATCCATGATATTCTTTCTGCAAATTGATTTTTTTCAAATGCAGTTTCTTAAAATAATTGTGACTTTCTTGTGTTTAAAAACACTGGAGGAAATTGTGCGAATTAAACACGTTTCAAGCTAGAAAAAGAAAATATTTTTTTTTACATTATTGATCAGATCTGGCACCGTTGTGAATCGGGCAAGGTGGGGTGGGTCACTTGAAATCACAAAACAGTTCCAAGAATTGATACCTCAAGGGTTCGCAGGACAATCCCAACCTCTCTGTCAATATAGGAAACAGATGCGTAATATGCTCTCCTAAATGTATTGAGTTTTTTCCACCAACTCAAATTTTCTTATTTCTATATCTTTGAAGCCTGACAGAATGCATAGGTTGAAATATCAAAGATCTACGACATCGGGTTGCAAAGATATAAGGATTAGAAAATCAGAGTTGAGAGAAAAATATGAATCATAGCTTTTCCTTATTTAGTTTAGTTTCGCTTTATTTAATTTTAAATATGATTATTCATTAAGTTTAATTGTTTAAGTTATCAAGTTTATCTGTTTCCTTGTTAAACGTTGTTCTAAAAGTAAAAATCATTAAAACGACCTGAGCTCCAATGTTTTCGCATCTGGAAAAGTTGTATTGAAATCTCCAAGATTCTGCAGTCCAAGACCTTCATTTGATGTGTCATCATATTGTCTGATCTCCTGGTAAGTGCTCCAGGCTGAGAAAATAAAATATTTAGATTCTCGAAATAACAGGTGTTCTGCATAAATTTTGATTTAAAAAAAACATTTTTATACCCTTTATTTTTTTACCTAATTCTGGAAGATTTTCAGTAACATATCTGTTTGAAGGAAGACTGATATCTTCTGTAGGATAAAGGTTTAGAAACTCCTGCAGAAGGAAATTATAAAAGTGAGAGAAAAATTGGGGAAAAACCTAAGTTTTCGCCTTTTATTTCGAACTATATCAGAAAAGGCGATTTGCAATTTGTTTCGAAAAATCCTGCCGCAATAACAAAGGAATGGAGTCATTGCCAAAAAAAACTCTCATTTTCAAATCCCTATATCTTTGCATATGCAACCAAATGTCGTAGTGCTTTTTAAACTATGAATTCTGTTAGATCAAATAATCTAAGTTTGAAATATATAAGGTATACAACATAAGGTTGCAAAGTTATAAGGATTAAAAATGTGTGTTTGGGGCAACGACTCAATATTGTAAATTTTTACAAATACTGATTGATTGATATTAAAGGGACTGCTCAATAATAATAAATACCTCCGGGAAAACAAACGGTAGATGAGGTCGATGATATCCAAGACCAATGAAAAATGGCTTCTCTCCTGAAACAATTTAACTCTATAAAGGCTGGATGGTCTGAATCTATGAATAGCATGGGGGGGGGCGACCCACGCCCCCCTCATAGAAAAATACTTTAAAGAATAGGTATCGAGTTGAAATGCATTTTCGTAGCCCAATTTTTCAAGGTCAGCTCATTGAAAAAATAGACGCTAATTTTAATGGTTTAGGTGACAGGGAGGGTTGAAAAAAATGCCAAAAAGAGGGTAAAATAATGTTAAAAATATTTTTTCGCCGTGTACCATACCCAATGCATTAGTAAAAATGTTTACAAAAAATCCTTTAAACTTCTATTCATTAAAAGTCAAAAAATTTCACGGTGATTGAGTCAAAAATGCGAGTAATAGGACAAAAGGGATAAAGGATATAATATACTGAAATACTTGTAGAAAGTCTGTAAATTGTTAAGTTTAAATATATTTGTCGGAAAAAATCTTCTTATGTTTTGAGATTGTTTCCATTTTAGAAATATTAATACACTTTTAACTTCAAAAAAAATTTGCGAGGACTAGCTATTGTAAACTGTCTACATTTGTTAGACCTAGGTGTATATCTTCTTAATGCTTTTCATCAAATTTAAATTCAAAGTTTTGCGTCCAGTCTCAATTTTGAAATCAAAAATAATTATTGACTGAAATGGTTTATCTTTATACCTAAGAAAACTAAAGATTTCACTGGGGGGGGTTCTGAGCCCCATAGCCCCCCCTGAATACGCCTCTGATTCGGATTCATCTTATACCACCAGCCCCCTTTTCCTTTTTTGCAAACATATTCTTATACAAACAAAGTTTGTACATGTTATTATTAAACTGGTTTACCTTGTAAAGACTGGTCTGCTAGTTCCTCTAGTACTTCAACTGCAGCAACTGTAATAGCAACATCTTGCAGAGGAAACTCAATCTACAGAAGAGAAGAACTATCCAGATTATACCAGATACCATTTTAAACCAGATTATATACTAGACTACTTTAAGTTTAAGGGGTTGTTTGACAGAAAGTATCTGACCCTCCATGTAAAGATGACAATGTCCGATTCACATCACTCTTGACATCTTTATCAAATCAATAATGTGGAAGATATTGTAGTTTTTCTAGGATTAAAAGTAATTAATTCTTTTATGTCGTAGTAACAATGCGCAAATTACTTCTGTGGAGAAACCCCAATTAAAAATAATTATTGTTTTTAAAATGATAAACATTGATATCTAATTTATACTTGATCAGAAAAGCTTTGTCGTCTTTGCATGGAGGGTGGCTTGAAATAACAAGAAGAACAATTCCGTAATAACAGGAACAGGTAAATAAGAAAAAAAGGATTTTTTTGTTTCAAAATTATGTTTTTAATACTTTCCTCCATTTCTGGAGTTACAGCCCGCCAGGAGAATTCTTTACTACTTTCTAGAGCTCCCTACAGTATACAACAATTTAAGTATAATACATCAATTCAAGTACAGTACATCAATTCAAGTACAGTACATCAATTTAAGTACAATACATCAATTCAAGTACAGTACATCAATTCAAGTACAGTACATCAAGACAAGTACAATACATTAATTCAAGTAAAGTACATAAATTAGGGGAAAATTCATCAAGTCAAGTACAGTACATCAATTCAAGTACAGTACATTAATTCAAGCACTGTACATCAATTCAAGTTGTACAATATAATACACACTTTAAGAACACTTGTGCAGTACAATTCATTTCAAAACAAGTTTTATATTAGCAGTATTCAATTGTTCGTTTCTGCTTTTATGTACCATAATATGTACTGTATTTTAAAAGTAAGTTGGTGAAATAATTGGTCAAGTTGACTTGGATTCTCCTATCTTGAGTTTTAATGATTGCTAATCTCAAAATTAATTTATTCCTCCTTAAAAAAAATATATTTTTGTCAAACCATCAAAAATAATGTCTGCTATTCTTGAAGTTTTATTTTATACTTTCTCATTTTGATTTATTTTGATTTATTTTGAATTGATTTTGAATTGATTCCTTAGGTTGGATAATCGTATCCCAAGATGGTGGATCATTATCATTATTTGTTACTCCAGGATGGAATATTTTTCCAATATTTATACTCCTATGCTTGTGCTTAGTTCAGGATACAGTGATAACCAGAAAGCTGTGGACTAGGAAGACGACATTAAAGAAATACTTATTGTAATTGATGTTGTTACAAAGAAAATAGCCCAACTATTAAGTTATTAAATCACTTTTTAAATGCAATGGGTCTGTTTACAGAGTTTCACTGCAAAATTACTGCGTCTCATGTTCATTTGACTATTCAATCTTGAGTCTAAAAATCAATTTCCTAATCCAGAGTTTTCTGGTTTTCACTGGTCAGACAAAACGCTATGTATCATCTTATTATATTATATATATATATA